TGTGAACAACCTATGAAAGGTCTAACATAGTGCGTCATAGTAGGCGTTTGAAGCTGGGTCCGAGTGCCTGTTACTTGTAACGGCAGATCATGAAAAGGTCCGAGAAAGTCCCATCCGGGGTACCCGTGGTCAACCAAGGCGGCAACAGGCAATATATTGACCGTCCAATTTATCAAAACCACTTATTACCGCGCGTATGGGGTTGGGTTCGGACAGACATGTGCCAACTTGGCCACCGTGTCACCATCGATACTAAGATCTGCCAGTTGGCGGCATTCCAGTGCCTATAAAAGGCCCAGAGTACAAATAGCGGTCGTGGCACGAGGCCCGAGAGACAGGTTGCTGTCATCTGTAAGGGCGGTTGTACCTACGACAGTGGCATAGACGGCTGATGCTCGGCTGGAAGGGGAGGCAATGGATCCAGTGATACCCACTGAGTTGGAACGCATTGTCAGAGGTGCGGTGAGGGTCGCACCAGAGGCAGTGATGGCCCCAGTGACGGTCAGACTCGCGTTGCTCACGTGAATGGTTCGCTTCAGAGAATACAAGGCTCGCGGCATTGGAGGTTGCCGTGATCGTAAAGTCGCCTGGTCCTGACATGATCTGCCCATTGCTCGCCATGAGTCGTGATCGAATTGACATACCCCGTATTCCAGTTGCTCGTGGGTCCCCCGAGCTCATACATGTCGCTTGCCGCGGGAGAGAAGCTCGAAGCGAAAGCGCCCGTGAGAAAGTCTCCGGTGAGCTTACAGGTGGGGATCTGCGGCAGCAGGTTGAGAGAGACGACTCCATAGTAGAGATTGCTGGTACTCGCCGCGTCGCAATCGCAGCCAGTGGCAGCCCGTTGACTGTGACGTCGTCCGTGTGCAGGTGCCTCCAGTAGCGAGTCCCGGAAGTACCTGTTGAGTTGTACTTCAAAGCTTATTGCAATACTGCTTAGAAAATAATGGCAAATTCAATCACGGATGACTAATTAAAAAATAATGCTTAACTTACGCACAGCCAATCAGGTTGGAGAGATTCCGGGGCGTAAACAATTCCTGTTGACAATGCCTCATTACTTAAGGCTGTGCGGGCACTCAAACTAAACGCTAGCTGCGCGCACACCCTGGACACGTGGCCCATGCATGCTACCGTGGTTACACGGAATGCTACCGTCGGGCGAATACGACCGGATCTTACCACATTGTTTCCCCCGGGCATTTTAGACCCCAATCAAACCCTAGGAGAGTGCCCGGTATACACCCGGTAACTAACCGAGCACCACTGATGCAGCTCCCACAACCGCCGTCGGGCGAATACGACCGGATCTTACCACATTGTTTCCCCCGGGCGTGTTCAGGGTCTCGCCATTCTCAGTGATGTGCAGATGGCTGATGCACCCAGCATAGGTGAGCTGATTCGGACGAACTTGAGTTGGTTCGGACCAGCTTGAGCTGATTCGGAAGTGCGTGGGTGGAGTCGGTGGATTCGGACCAATTTGAGCTTGGCAAGTCACGTGCCCTGACTTTTGGGGGTTGAACAGACACGTTCCCGAACTTTTGGGACAATGTGGGCGGGGGAGTAGCCCGCGGTCGCGCTTCGACGCTTCGTGTGTGTACGTGGCAGAGGTGAGCGCGTGCGCGAGCTTGGATTGCACCAAGATTACGGCCGCCCGGCGCACCGCGCTGCCAAAAAGCACGTGCTCCTGGTTACTCGGAAGCAAGTGCTTTTAAGATCGGATACTCTGAGTGCCCGGGGGGACCTTTGTAGACTTGAGTATTATTATAAGACACAGTCGGGTTGGGCAGTGCCCCTCCCGGAATGTACGGACACGCGGGGTGTGGATACCCTCTGTTACCTCCAAGACTTAGGGACTTGGGGTAGTACTCAGCCCCCAGGCCCCTAAGCTTCGACGCAGAGCATAAGTACTTAGGGATAGGAGCCCGGCGTCGGTTCTAAGTCCCTAAGTAGTGACCGGTAGGCCTTGTGAGTGACCGGTTGAACCCCAGGCTTAAGGCCAAGATTCGATTTCGAAACTTTTGTCCCTAAGGTCCGACAGCCCCCCTAAGTAGGGTCGGAGGGCCACAATGGCAGTAGTTCTCGACCCACTGGTCCTCCTGAGAAGCGTCTGGCACTCGACTAAGGGCGTCCTGTACAGCCAACTCTGCACGGTTTCCACTATGCTAGAACGTCGAAATCTCCTTCAGAGCATAACGTGAAGATTTCCTGGAGAACGGTGTTAACGTCCGGCGCCGAGCTCCTCATGCTGTTGACTGCCGCCACCGCGCCTTGATTGTTGCCAACCAACAAAACCGCTGCCCCCGAAAGGAGAGGGCGGTGGTGGAGGACGGCTTGTTGCAGAACGCGAAGAAAGCCAATCATCTCGCGCGCCGTGCTTGATTGGCTGACCTCCGCCTCCGTCAAGGATCCCGCCACGTGGAAGGGGGGGCTGCCGGCGATGTGGAGGGATCCCCCAAACCCGAAGTCAGATGCATCAGAAGCAGCTTCAATCAGGATCCGGCGCGGAAACCAGCGCCTGCCGTTCCAGTCGTCGAGGCGCTCCAAGAAGAGTTTGGCGGTTGTTTTGGCCGCCAAAGGCGTGGGAAAAACCTCATCCCAGGAAATGCGTCCTTGCATCGCCTGAAACAGGGGCCGGCTGTACAAAGAGGCCGGCAGAACCGCGGGTCCCATCGCGATGATTTTGCCCGCGACCTTCGCAAGGAGACGTGGGCTGACGTCATCCGCGGTGAGAAGCTCGGTTCAAACCCCTTTTACTTTGGCTAGCTTATCCGCCGCAACCCTGAACTGTTCCGCCGGAGTGTCGACCACGAATCCGAGCCACTCGCCCGTCTGGGACGGCCAGAATTGGCACTTAGACAGGCTGAAAACCGCCCCGAGGAGGGTGAGGAATTGGATGATCACCACAATGAGCCAGAGGCAGAGGGCATAGCTCTGATTGGCGGTTAACCCGTCGTCCAGGTAACTTGAAACGGGGACACCCCTGATTCGGAGCTCCTTGGCGGCTTCCTGAGTGATCAGCGTGTACGCATAGCACTGTTCGGACCAACCGAAGCACATTGCGTTGTACCGGAAGTAGGCCTTGCCAATCCTGAAACCGAAGTAAGTCCGAAAGCGGGGGTGAATGAGCACGTGGTAGTAACCCGCCTTGAAGTCCCACGTCGAGAAGAAGCCGTTGGCGGCCAGAAATGTTAGAATGTCGCGGAGTGTCTCGTATTTGAACGGGCGCGGTTTCAAAAAGGCGTTTACGTAACCGGCGTCTAACACTAGGCGCCCTTTGGGGAGGTTAACGACTCCTAGGGGGTTAACCACCTTCGGTTTGCGCTGACCCGGGGGGCAAAGCTCAACGGAGCCGTTGACTAGCATCTCGCCGACCGTCTTGATGCCAAAGTCTGCGTTCTCGTGGAACGAGCGGTGATTGGGGAACTCTACAGGATGCGGCACGTCCCCCGAGAGCCACTCTTCGACTTTCGCCTCCCCTATGGTTCTCCGGAGCATGAGTTTCACCCTCTCCAGCTTCTTGGGATCACACTGGGCTGTGCCAACGAAAGACGGCTTTATGCCGTTTCGTAACCAGGACAACACCGTTTTCGAAGCAGGCCGCGAGGAGTCCTTCAGCAGCTCCTCCCACACAGGGACGTGACGGCCGAAGCTGCCTGCCACGAAGTGCTCAACCGGGTGCACCTTCCCCTCTACCGACTTGAGCCAGGCTGTTAGCTCCTTCTCCAGCATCGCACTAATCTCCGGTCCGGCCTCTATCTCCGTGAGAAGGGACCTTAGGTTGCGGGTGAGCTGTTCCGCGTCCAAAGCCGCTGCGACACGTGGCGCGAAACGAGAAGAAAAGAACTTGAAGTTCCAGTCTGACGCCTCTGAGGGGTTACTGTCGCGAGTCAACGGATCAGCGTCGAGATCGATCTCGTCAGCTGAGGCTTCGAAGAAGGGTTCAGCGTCTCCGGCAGAGTCGGAGTCGGGGGCAGCAGCTGAGGGGTCGTGCGCAGCTTCCAGTTGTGCTGGCGGATCTTGCTCCGCATTGAGCCCACAGGGCTGCGCCTCGAGCGGCACCAACTCCGCTGATGCCATATGCGGCATGTTGCTGTCATTACAACGGGGATGCATCAGCATCTCCCAAAGGCGTGCTTGCTGATTTGGTCGGTATTACATCGGTAATCAAACTTGTGATTCCATACACTTGTGAAGTAAAGTAAGTGACATATGCAAAACTTCAGGGTACATTTGCCAGGTTCGTCTCAAACGGACTAGATGAAATGTCTGACGCACCCTCGACCTTCTAATTTTTCAAAGGAGGCTCGTTAATCAGTTCTGAGGTGTCGGTGGCGACTATCTACGTTGTCCAGCTCCGAACCGCTAACATTCTACGTCTTGCCTGCATTGATCTACGTCTAATTTCGTAATTCGACTCTGCAAAGCACGTAATGTTCCTGTGATCTTCGAACTTATCGACCACTCAGTAAATTTACATGTTGCCTCTATTCTGTCCTACTCCCTGCTCTCCTTGATTGTCCCTATCTCCTTTGAAGCCGCGGCCAAACCTAGCGCGGCCGCCGCCTTGTCCGCCTCCGAAGTTCTGCCTTCCGCCCGGCGGGCCGTTCTTGTTGCCCTGGTTCCAATTGCCTTGATTGTTGTTGTTATTCCTCCTGCAAGCCGGCACAAACCGGCATCAGGACACATGTCTGCCTTTTATAGGCTTGTCTCACATTTTGAGAGGCGTCTATGCCTACCTATGGCACACATGGCCGGGCTCTATGCCCCTTTAGATTCCTAAGACGGCAATTCTGCCCCAGGTTCTGCCCACAGGGCTTTGGCATTCAGCCCACAGATGACGTCACGCTGACCGACGGCACACATGGCCGAGCATCATGCTCAAATGCTCACGTGTCAACTACTTTCTCAGCTGCGCCCACAGGGCTCTGGAATCTGAATCGAGCACGACGTTCTTAACAGCTCGCACAGCCAGATATCACGACTTAGTCCGAATCTTAACTAACCAGGTCGCCTAAAGCTCAGGCCCACAGGGCTCAGACCATTCGTCAACTAAGCTACTTCGAAGCGAGAGTTTCCTCAGTGAACCTTTGCCTAAATTGAGGGGACCATCTTTGGGGTGTCTGACCAAGCATTCAGACCGAACGAATCCGTTCTTGAGGCAACTCGAATCATCGACTTGCATAATACCGTTCAGTTCCCACATAACCTATTCGAATACTCCACAGAATCTGATTGGGGAGCCATGAGGCTTACATTAGAAGAGAAGGAAGGTCTGACCTGGGCGGTTTGTCCGGGTCGAAGAGGGGGCGGACCACCCCCTTGCCGAGCAGCGTATCTGCCTTCGCCTTGCTTTCAAAGAAAGCATGGCGAATCTCCGCTTCCAACGTCGCCCTTGTCTCAGCAGACCACGTGGTGCTGTCCCCCGCCTGCTCGATCTTCATCTTCCTCTCAGCCACGAAGGCGTTGGCGAGCCACTCCAAGTCCGGCGAGACGTAATTGAGACGCGTAGCGTATAAGTATACCGCTGACAGCAAGTGGGCTACCTGGGAGTCAGACTCTTGGTAGATATCAAACAGATAGGCCGCCTTGGTAGACCAGGCGGGCAGCTTCGGGTTGATCTCCCGCAGCACTGACGTCAGATGAGACTCCAAGGTGCCTTTGGACACCAACTGACGGATCGTCTTCTCCAGCCGTGCGGTAGAGGCTGGGTGAAAGGGGTTGTTCAGGCCCCCTTGCAGGATTCTCATGGCGGGCGTCTGCGCAGCCAACGCTGCCGGCGTTTGTTCAGGATTCATCCCAAAAGCGTAATTCTGCTGCGGAATTTGGACATGGGGGGGCCTGACTTCAGCCTGCCCTTGTCCCGCCTGATGAAACCCTGGTGCATAAGGGGGAACTCCGAACCGTGCCGCCTGCCCCTCAGGACGGACACCTTGCTGTGGCTGCTCGCGCGGAGGCGCTGGGAAGGCACCGAAGCCAGGAATGGCGACCGTGTACTGTTCCCACTCTAACTTGTACTCCTTTAGAGTCTCGATCACAGGGTCGTTGTTCAGACGAGTACCCCGTCCGATCCGCACATCCGCGGGAGCGATGGTGCCTGGATAACGGTTACCGTGTTCGTCCACTCCGGAGAAAGTTCCATCAGGGTGAATCTCTGACAGAATAGTTTGGACAGGTCTTCCTTCGTAAATCACCTGGAAGTCCTTCCCTACTAACCAAGGAAGCCCCTTAATGGCAATCAGGGTCTCTAATTCTCTCTCCATCCTAGTTCGCGCCAAATAGACAATTGAAAGAAGCGTAGAGCTAAGTCCGGAGGCGCCACAGGCGCTTCCTTCTGTGATATTATTAAGAACAAACTGAACGTCTTCTTCAAGTTTGAGCAAGACGTCTTCTTGTTCAGTGGCCTAGTCAGCTAGTCGCGGCCGCGCGCTGCTCCGCGGTCAGGCGGCCGCGGGGCCAGGGTTCCGACCATAAGCGGGCGCTGCTTATGCGGAATGACGCATTCCGTGCTCAAAGTGCCTGTGCAATCTAACGGACTCACGTCAGCTGACTGCTCATCGCTCAACGCGCGAGCATTCCGATGACCCCACCAGCCACGAGCCCCCCCCCCAACCGTCGAGCGACAACCGTGACTGTTCGTCTGACCGTACACGATGGCTTTGGCGCGCGCGGCAGGCAGCGGGGCGGCCCCGGCCCCTCCGCTGGCCGGCTGCGGCGGCCACGCTGCCGATCGGATTCAATGTTGAACTTCAAAAGTTCGAACTAATTAAATTGGTAACGATCCATTAAAATCGAACGGTCTCGATCTATTCACGTAGACCTAGACCTTAGACCACGTGACCGTTCGTACTGTCCGCGCGCGCCATTTGATGGATACAGGTATAAATCGATGGAGCAGTCGACCGCCGCCGCCGCCCGTACACGACGACGATCCAGATTTCAGACAAATTCAACATGCATGCCTTGTGCATGCACGTGTCCTCCTACAATAAGAATTACGCCTCATTAATACTGAATCAGATCCCGTAATAATTTCTGCTCAGGCGCAAAGACTTCGTCGAAGGCTTCCGACGGCGAGATCAGTGCACAACTTGTCAGAATGCCAGAAGCGGGGAAGGTCTTCAGGGTCTTGAACCAGTATTGAACTATCAAAGACGTGAGATGCAGATTGCACTTGGATGTTAGCTGGTATACCGCGTTAAGAATGTCAAGCTGAAATCACGTTCAGTACCGGCCAATCCCTTGCAGACCGTTGGAGCCAGCTGGTGACATTCTGAAGACCAAGTCTTTTTAATTAACCGGTAGTTATGTGGTCACTTCTGGGTTTGCAGCGCTCGAGGTATTGTCGAGTCAAGTACTAGCTATTGGACCCACAGGGCTAGCCTAATGTAAGTGGGTTTGCGGTGTCAAGTATACCGGACGATCTGAAGGACAAAGTAGGCACGAATATGCAACTCGCTTGATCACCTCCAAAGAGCAACCGGGTTGCATTGGAAGACAGGTGTGGTTATGGAATCTTTGTCAGTCAGTCTTTACATAAAGCCGCAATATCTGTGCTTCAAGACCAAAGGAGCGTTCACAACACAAGATATCAGCCCACCGGTCTTCGACCTGAAGACATCAATTTTCAGTAACGTGCCTCGGGGGTAAAATCCTGTCACTTAAAATTGATGTTTACAGACGGCGTGCACTCTATCCGGTACAAGAGATACGGATATTGGGCCTCGCAAGTACTCTGCGCATATTGCGGCCGACAGCTTTGTGGACAGATCAGCATGCGCCCACTACTGATCCATGGGTGAATCTGCTGATCTGAGCGAAGAGAGCACCCGCATGACAACTGTTGTCAGTCATAAGAATTTCGGACGTTTTGTCACGCTTCGGGCTACTAGTCAAGTTTTGGTGTCCGGCCTGGTTACGGTGCAAAGTCGATTTGGAACGGCCCTTGTTGGAAGCACCTCTGACGAACTTTTTCAATCCAAAACAAGGTGAGCGTTAATCCTTGAGCACGTGACGGTCTGGAGCAGCTGTAGGGTTGTCGCTTAAGGGTGCGACGTCAACTTCGAAAGGTTCTGCGTGTACGTTTTTGCAGCTCTTGAGAAGTAGTTCAAGGTATGGAGTAGCTCTGTTACACCACCAATGTCGTAATTCTTTCATGTCATGCAATCATCCGCTGATGTCAGGATTTAGCACGCTTCTGAGTTGTTCCTTGGACCTTTGACCACCGAAATGTTGGCAAGCTCTTCAAGACCTGGTTTTTTTGAATTAACGCCCACCTGCTAATGGGTTCTGTTTTACAGTGCAAAACTACCTAGTGCAAAACTATTTTTGAGTGGTGTCCTGTAGATATTCAGTTCGAAGATCCAACTAGATTCGGCCAGCTCTGCTACATCGAGCAGGTTTGAACAGAACACAACGGTATGCCATCTCGAAGACTGTCAGAAGCGAAATACTTTCAACAACTTTCAAGCAAAAATTCAACTCCAATTCAGAGAAGGATTTCGTAATCTCTTATCCCGCTGAAAATACGTTCCCCTTCTTTGCAGCAACCATGGTGTCGCCCCGATTGGTCCCGGTTGTCCAGAGCCTCATCAGCACGGGCCTCTTTCTGGACGCTATGACGTCCGGCGCCATCACTCCCCTTCTCCCGTACCTAGTTGTCCGCTTCCGGGGTTCCGAGCAAACCGTCGCTAACCTGTTAGCAGTGGGTTACGGCGCAACCCTCGCCGCGATGCTCCCTTCGACGATCCTGCTGCTTAACACCGGCCACCTGCCCATGCTCGCAATGGGCCTCGTCGCGCTTTTGGTGTCATGCGCCCTGCTCGGGCTCAACTATAGCCTATGGCAGCTTTACGGGGCGATGGTTCTGACGGGGGTCAGTTCCGAATTCATATTTGCGGCGGCACTAGCCATGGTCACAAAACTTCACAAGTCCGGGGGGGCAGCGCAAGCAGAAGCCTCGCAAGGAGGGGGTGAGGAGACAGCTGAGGAGGGAGCCCAAGCGGCACCCCCGTGGCAAGTTTTACAGCTCGCGCTTTCTCCTCGCGCGCTCTCCCCGCGCGCGCTTCTGGCTAACTACGGGTTCATAGGCCGGGAGATGGGTGGCGCAGCTGAGGTGTCGAACCTTCTGCGCAGTTTGAGCTTCACTCTGGGAAGAAGTGACATCCTTCGGACGGCTACTGTGGGACCGGTTTCCGGAAAGTATACGGGGGGTCAATTCGCCCGGGGGGGATCAGCCGGCGTCGCTCTGAGTGCGCCCGCCAGTCCGCGGTCGCCTTCGGAACTAGACCGGAGGCACACCTCCCCGGTTCTTCCGAAGCCACCGGAAAAGCCCTCGGTTCCGGTGACCCTATCCCTAGTTGGCCCTAAGCCCACTTTCGGTGGCATTCCCGCTGCAAACACGTCGCTCGTTCTGGTTCCTTTACGTGTCGAGCAGAGACTTTCGAGCACGGTTGTTGAGCCGTCAGAAAGTGCAAGGAGCGGAACGGAAAGGCCGGATTGTGCACCCGAAACGGGGTCTCAAGAGCAAGAGCGAGAAACGCAGAAAGAGAAGCAGGACAGAACGCCTTCGGCTAGTGGGTCGACGGGGTTGGTCCAAGGTGTGGGTCTGCTGTTTGCGGCCCAATCGATGGGCTACGTTTTCGGACCGTTCATCGTCCCAATTCTGTACGGTCTGGTCGACGCGTGGCTGCCCTTCCTGATCATCGGCCTTATGACGGCAGCAATCCTGGCGCTGATTCTGCTGCTGAGCTCAGACCGTGTGGAACGATGGGTGGCGTGTTGGACTGGGGACGCGGGAAAGGAGACCGGGGATTCGGGGAGAGGCACGGAGGAAGATATTCTCAGGGCGCCGGATGCATGCGAGAGGGTTGGTGACGGGAGCGATCAAAGCGCTTCAATCCAAGTCGCAGGTGCCGGCGACAAACAAGATGTGAATGTTGATGTCAGCCACCTTGACGATCGTGACGTCACAGAAGTCGTGGGCAGTAGCAGAGAGAGGCAAGTGGGCGACGTTGATGAGACTAGTGCAGGGGAAATGCTCGGAGGTCTCAAAGGCAGATCGGAGAAGATTTTGGGTCTGAGCAAGCTGCGAGGGAGCTTTGGTTCAAAAGAAGTTGACACGAACGTTCGGGAACGGGTCGAAAAGGAGGAGAGAAGCACAGGTGTAGAAGGGAACCGGGAGGTCCAAGTGAGAGCTTGTGTTGAGGGGCCTGCAACCGGAGGTTGTGCCGAAAGCAATGAAAAGCTCAACGGAGGCGAAGTCTCTAGAGAGTGTCAAGACACCCCGGGCAAGAGCGCGGCGCCGGCCCTAACACCAGCTGCCATCCAAAGCTCCAGGCGCAAGCGCGAGAAGCACGTGACGCAGCGCGTGTTGCCAGAATCGTACCACGAAGAAAAGGGCTCGCCTGGAGTCGAGTCGTCGTCCACGAGACAGCGTAGAGACAGCGGCTCTTTCAGGGACTCAAATTCTTCGTTTCCGAGAGGATCTGATGTCGACTCGAGCCCAAGTCCGCTGGTAGAACTTTCCGAGGCGCTCCCTGATCCTCACCTTCTGTGCCGTTTGCGGGAAGCGGAAAGCGCAACCGAATCAAAGCCCGGGTTTAGCTCCCAAGCCTCAAACGGAGCGCTGGCGGGCACTAACCCGTCTCCTAAACCCGGGGCCAAAGGCAGAACCCCCTCGGTCCTCCGTTCCGTCGCCGGTCTCCTATTGAGCGCCCACGCTTTCCCCGCCATCCTAGTCGTCTTCGCAGAGGCGGTGGTAATGGGCGCCGTGGACACCGTTATCCCGCTGTTTCTCCTGGACACCTGCCACGTGTCGGCCGCTGAGAGCGGGCTCATCTTTGGCGCGCTTGCGCTCGCGTACGCGGGCGCGGCGTACTGGCTGACCACGTGGCTGGTGGGGAGGGTGGGGGATATTCACACCATGGTTCTCGGGGCGGTTGCCATGGGGGTGGTCATGCCGGTGATGGCTATGCGCGAGCTGTGCGCGCTCTGGGCTCAGATGCTGGTGATAATCCCCATTGGTACGTCCTCCTAATCCAACTCCGAATCTGATCTCTGCTTCTCTGGCGTTGTTTTGACGAGAAATGTGATTGTTTGCAAGCGTCACTGGCAGCGTGTTCGAGCCAGACAGTGGATTCTGCGGACGAAAGGGATGAAACATTAACGAGGGGCTTTCCCAGAAGTTACGTCACTCTGCATAATACCTCAGACCTAGAAGCAAAGCAAGCGTCCTGCGGAGTGGTTCTCGATACCTCCTGAAAAGCGAGTGAGGGGGGGTGATTTGTGAACTTATGAAGAATACTGTGCAACGGTTTCACAAATGCAGGATGTCTGTGAGCTTCTTCAAATAGAAATTGACTCGAATATTTTCATCTTTCCTTATCCGGTCTTGAAGAGCAGCCGATCATCAATCAAGGGTGCGCTCGAGAATCAGCCTTTTGCTGCAAACGCTCAAACGAGGAAGCAGCTAACACAAAGACATGACCAAATACTCCTACTCAAAGAGAATCTCTGCCCTGGCAGGTTTTGGGATGGCGCTCATGGGGGGTCCCACTTTCCCCCGGCTCGTGGGCGCCCTTAATCTTCGGGGAAGTCAAGACGACGGGGTTGCAGTCATTTTTTATGACGCTCTCTACTCGGGGGGAATGATCGTAGGGCCTTTCATCGGCCTGTCACTTAAGAATGCCACGTCATCGGCGACAGTCTTGCAGATCCTGAGCGGATTCCTGGCGCTTGTAGTGGGCGCGATCTACGTTGTCGAGTTCTTGAGTAGAGGGAGAGGGACCGAGTCCGAGAAGGGAGGAATAAAACGGCAAAGTAGCACGAGCGCCCCTGAGGAGGCGAATGCTGAATGACACTCTGAAGGGCTCGAGGTTCGACAAACTCGGATCGGTTCACAGTTGAAATGCGCGCTTCGCATGTTGCTAGAAATCTAATCTGAGGTCGTAGACTCATTCAAAACAAGGGTTGCATGACCTCAAACACTCGGTGCTACCTACAATATTTCCGATGCCCCCGTTCTGATTTCTCTTATCAGTACGTGGAGTGCGCCGAAGCCATGTTGTCTCACAAGTGCCTTTTATGGCAGCAGGTATCCTGGAGTTGTTACCTAGGGCACGTCCTACTCCTGAATCTATTTGCCAACCTTGACCAGACGGCCCCTTCATAATCCGATGAAGTCCTAAGAGCTCATCTTAGTTTCAATTTAGTTTCAAACCGTTAAGTCAGTCAGAATCGAGCGAGTGGCAGCCTAGTTATAAGCCCCAAAAAGCGGTGGTTTGTCACAGTACTGCGGTTGCTGACTCCGACGTCCAAAATGCACGGCGGCTGTTTGAAAATATTAAGATGAATGATCAATCGTCAAGGTTTCTCTTCTTTTAAGACCTTCGAGTTCTTAAGCTACTGATGAGGCTTCCGCACATGCACTGGTTCCGGACCCCTCGAATTTAATCAAGCGGATCGTTGCATGCGCAAAGGCCCTTCAAATACTTCGGAATGCTTGGCAAGCCAGCGCGCAGCACCATTGAATTGAGCGTGATGATGATAAAACCAATTCCATACTTGTACCAGACAGCTTGAAAGCTTGGTTTTGTTTCCAAGGATCCTCTTCTGTGCTCCTTTAGTGCACATGATGACAAACAATACTGTTTTGCGGCTGCCGGGTAAGCGTGCGTCTGAGGCGGCAGTGCTTGTTAAATTGAAGTCGGTGGTGAACCACGAGCGAGAACCTACTTCAACCACTTTGATCCTTCCTTTGATTCTGAATTCCTGACCCTTTCCTGACCAGCTCGTAGCACCGTAGCTCGAACATAGTTGGAACGGGCAAACCCCGGGTTACGATCACCCTTTATCGGACGGTCTGTGTTGAAAGGAAATGGTTTCTGCCACGTGGTCTGGGTCGATGGCAATCATTGAAAGCTACGCGCGCGCGCGAAGGTCGGTAGGATTCCAATCGTCGGCCGGGAAGTGTGACCGTACCGTCACACCCAGGCTGTAGCAGTGTAGGCTATAGCTAGGTAGCTTACCAAGTCGGCGGCGGGGCCCCGGCCTCGGCCCTGGCTGGCTTTATCTGACACACAGATTTACCGCACTTTTCGGTGTGCCATAGGGTACCGGATCATGCACTGCGAGTTATCAATAAGCTTCAGACGTGCAGCGAGTCATGACAGTGCCTGACGGACCCCGCCTGCAATTGACTCTCTTTGCACATAGCATCCAACCTCTGTGCGATCATCAATCAGCATGGTTCAGACTGTAGATATCCGACTCCCGGTTATTTCGAGGTCCCGGCATTATTTCCGTCCTACTTCCGTCTGACGAAAGGGCAAAAGGGCAACGTTGACCAGCCTGCGAATGCTGTCCGGGATTGTGATTTGGTCAAGAAGATCTGGCATTCGTTTAGTTTAATCCGAAATGGTGGGCCACCTTGCAGCGTATCAAAGCCGGGTTCCAATAGTTGCGTCACTCCATTTCAGATCTGTATCTGCTCAACAATGATGGCTCTGGTCAACGCTGAAACTAAAAATATCTTTGAGTTCCAGAAGCAAGTGGCCTCGACCAGAATACAGGTCTGCCTTTTGTGTACGCTATCTATTCAATGATTGCACACGTTCTCAATTTCGATATGATCATTGAGTCAGCCTATTCCGGTCCTAGAATCAATCATGTCAGATCACGATATTGTCTTTCACTCCAATCCGACCCCTGATCTGATACGATAGAGTAGGATTTGATGCACGATCACAGTCGGCGCTTGAAAGCTTGTAAGTTGTAATGACAGAAGGCTGGAATAACATTTGGTATCTAGAGTCTGCATTACTGCTCAAGTTGACAGAGGAGAAGTGGAGCCGGACCGTCGACTGAATCGGCGCTTGATCTGGATCCTTAGATACTTTGCTTGGATTCTCAGATGTTTCTGAGTCGAAGCATCCTACGAGCTTAGACAACACGGAGGCTGCTGCATTATAGCCGTCTTTCAAGAAGGCTTGAGTCTGATCCGGCGTCAGTATTTAGTTCACCGTCACTATGGAGATTGCGTTCGATCAGAGGGAACTGGAGAACCCCGGTTGTTGGGGGATATTCGAAGGATGTGACTCAAGCGACTTCCCACGAAGTCATGTCAAGCACCAGAGCGAGGGATGGCACCAGAATCCGGTTGTCAACCCTCAGTGCGGGGGGCTACGTAACATGCTGAGCGACCCGCAATGCAGATTTAGTCGCCTCGTTGTAATATACGGCTCGCAAGCCTCAGCATCCCTCACCGATGCTGTGGTGCACCTGCAGGGACCAGTGTGGCAGATAAGAAGGTCGGAAGCCATTGCTAATACAAGAAATGTGAGTACATAAAAAGGCTTTCAGCTTATGGAACTTCTGGCGGGTCTTCACATATTAGCCCATCCATTTCTCTTCTCAGAACGAGTGGCAGGCCAACTTTGGAATGCCATGAAATTCCCCTCAGCAATGGCACTGGAACTTTTGCTTTTGCTGTTAGAACGGGGTTTGAAAAGAACGTGCTGGACAGCTTGTGGGCGGAAGTGGTAGCACGCTGGGTGGGGAACATCTGCAGGTAAACCAAAGCACCTTTGCCGTTCAAAACCTGTCAAGCCCCTAGTAGTGTGCACAATATTTGCGGTGGATATCATCATCACGTGTTCAGGCACCTTTTCTATCGGATAAACTTGCAACTAGGCAACAAGGTTTGCTGAGATTTGTCGCTCAGCGTTTGTATTCCTCAGCTCGAATCAGCGAACCACGTAGAGAAAGGGCGGCAGATGGACACTTTTCACGACTGCAATGAACCTAAAGTCAATCAGAAATGCGTTGAAAGTGCGGTGCGCGCCAAGCGAACACCCGGTGAGAGATTTCTTCTCGTCGTTGCAGTGACCATGGTGCCCCCCCGGTTGGCCCCCGTTCTCCGGGGCCTGGTCAGCACGGGCCTTTTCCTTGACGCCATGATCGCCGGAGCTATAGTCCCCCTCCTGCCATATCTAGTTGCCCACTTCGGGGGCTCAGAGCAAACCGTCGCAAACCTGATAGCGGTGGGTTACGGCGCAACCCTCGCGGCAATGCTTCCGTCGACGTTTCTTCTGCTTAACACTGGTCACCTGCCCGTGCTTACAATGGGTCTCACCGCGCTTCTGGTGTCATGCGCGCTGCTCGGGCTCAACCATAGCCTATGGCAGCTCTACGGGGCGCTGGTTTTGATGGGGGCCAGTGCCGAGTTCCTGTTTGCCGCGGCACTAGCCATGGTTACGAAGCTTCAGAGCTCTGGGTATGAAGGAGGGGCGAGATCGTCGCAAGAGGGGGGAAAGGAGCCAGCTCTAGAGCAAGCCCAAGTCGCCACCCCCCATCCGAAAGTTCTGCGGCGCGCGCTCTCACGGCGTGCCCTTGCAACGAACTACGGCAGCTCGTTCCGCCGGAACAGTGGCGACGCCGGAATCTTGACGGCGCTGCGGAGCGCGAGCGTCATTGTGGGCGGAAGGCAGTCGATCCGCGCGCTCGAACTTGTCCGAACGGCTGCTCTAAATCCCAACCGCGCTGTCAGAGCGCGCCGTCAGGCTGACGTCATTCAGGCGCCCGAATCCGGCGACGAGACGAGTCCGGCCGCGGATTCTTGGTCGCCGGAATGGCTGAACCGGAGGCATACGTCTCCTGTTGCTGCAGCGGCACCGGCAGAATTCGGGGTTCCCAGAACCCTCACCTCGGTCAAGCCTAACCTCCCGGTTAACCCGCCCAGCAGCTTCGTTGACCCGTTCAAGGTGCTCGCCCTGATCTCTCCACAAGACGCCTCGGAGGTTGATGAAAGTGAGTCGGAAACCGATGACAAGCAAGCAAGGATTGCTCCTTGTAATCCAGAGAGCGGGTTGCAACGGAATTTGACCGTTTCTCAGAAAGAACGCAGGCTACTGGTGGCGAAGCGGATGGGTTGATGCAGGGCGTGGGTCTGCTATTCGCGGCCCAATCGTTGGGGTACGTTTTCGGACCGTTTCTCGTCCCCCTTCTATACGGGCTGGTCAAAGCGTGGCTGCCTTTTTTTATTATCGGCCTGCTGACGTCAGCGACCCTGGGGCTGATCCTGCTGCTTAGCTCAAGCCACGTGGTAAAGTGGGTGATCGGCGGTCGCATTCTCCCGACGGATGCGATCGTTGGGGAAGGTACTAGTGAACCCGTTGACTGCGAACTGGGATTCAGAGCGGAGGAGAAACAGGGTTTGGGCCGAAACCCGGAGGTGCAACCGAGCACTTGCATCGAAGGGTCGGCAGCCAAGTTCGAAATTAGTGGCGGTGTGAACGGACGGCCAGAAAAGTCGGATTCGGGCGAGAGCGAGGGTCTTCAAACTGGGGCGAAAGCGCTTGGGGAGTGTCAAGCAGCACCAGAAAGGGACGTCCAGCTGGGCTTGACACCAGCTGCTATTCCGGAACCTTGCAACGAGCGCATGGAGGGCGCAGCGCTGGGGGCGTTTGCAGAAGGCGGCGAGCAGGAAGAAAGCACCAGCGATAGCGATTCCGGCGGCGATTATTCCGGCTACTGTAGCAGCGAGCAGAGTGATGACTCCGCGAGCGGCGGAACAAAGGGAATTTTTGGGCGCTCAAATGCGTTATCCAGAACCTCAGCTACTTTGACCAAGGATAGTGTACCCGAAGAAAAGCAGGGCAGAACCCAAATAGTAGTCGAGTCGCCAGAGATCAGCCGCGAAAACTTAGTTAAAGGGGAGCCCAGCGGTCGGCCCCCCTCCGTTTTTTGGTCACTAGTGGGACTCGTGCTGCTGAGCGCGCACGCGTTTCCCGCCATTCTAGTTATCTTTGCGGAAGCGCTGCTTATGGGCGCCTTCGACACGGTCGTCCCGCTGTTCCTGAAGGACACCTGCCACGTGTCGGCCGCTGAGACCGGTCTCGTCTTCGGCGCGCTCGCGCTCGCGTACGCTGGTTTTCGTACTGGGCGACCACGTGGATGATCGGCGCCGTGGGGGATATTCACACTATGGTTCTCGGGGCGGCTGCCATGGGGGCGGTTCTGCCGGTGATGGCCATGCCCGCGCTTTGTGCGCTCTGGGCACAAATGCTGGTGATGCTTCCCGTTGGTAAGCCGAACCTGCTTACCAATCATGCTTTTCGTTGTACCCGGCGATAAGACAAGCGGGGCGCACCTAGTTGGAAAAATACCTGTTTGAAACTCCTGGGCGGGGAAACTTTTGGACGGGGAGATTCTCTCCTGACGCAGAGTTAAGTTCGATCGCTGCGGTAACCACCTACGCATCAGAACCAGTCTCAATGGTCGAGACGGGGAGAAAGTGCGCCACGCCGAGAAGAAGTTACCGTTGCTTCTTACTTTCAGAGATTTTAATGCATAAATTCAGAGCTTTGCATTGTTGTTGTCAAGAGAATCGAGAGGGTAGGAACGCAGATTCTGCCAGAAGGCTTTGAGCCCTGCCCAATGTCTGGGCCTGAGGAGAGACTGCCTCTTGTACCGATATCTACATTTAGACGCAGTCTACGAAGGACTGAAGATTTGTGTTTCAAAACATGAAAGGACAGCCTTGGACCCATCGAAGCTCTCAGTCAACGATTTTTATGAAGCATTCAAGATTTCCTCCAAAAGACGACAAGCATACGCTTTTCCAAATCAAAAATCAAGGTGACATTCCAAATCTTTTCAGACGGTGTCGAACTTCGAACAAAGGAATTTGCTGCAAGGCAAACCTTGACACGGAACTGCCTTTCGTTTGCAGGTTTTGGCATGGCCTTGATGGGGGATCCCACTTTCCCCCGGCTTGTGAGCGCACTGAAGCTGACGGGAAGCGAAGACGAAGCCGTCGCAGTTGTTTTGTACGACGGACTCTACTCGGGGGGCATGATCATGGGGCCCTTTGTTGGCCTGTCGCTCAAAAACGCCACGTCATCAGCGACAGTTCTGCAGATCCTGAGCGGGTGCCTTGCGCTTATGATAAGCGCGATATACTGCGTTGAGTTGTTATGTACATTGAGAAGGAGTCGAGAACATGACAGACGATCAGGAGAACCCTTGCAGGCGGTTCTAGCGAGCCGATAACTGTATAATGGGTCCGTAGAAAGCCTTAAGCTTCGACAGACGCAATGGAGATAAAATTGCGACAAAGACATTGTGCAAGTTGAGGAAAAAGACCCTCTCTCGGATAAGCCCCGCTTGGTTCAGGTGCAGTACACATCTGCAGCCACTTTTCACGTCTAGACTAGTACTAAGTGCCCTCGCGACCGACATGGAACGTCAGAAGGTTCTATTGGAAGATGGTGTGTGTTCCAAGACTTTTTCGATCATCTACCAAAATGATGTTGCCAGAGGACGCAAACGGCTGCAAATTCTCACAGACGTCCACGGCGTATACCATGGTACTACTGCATCGAAACATGCTCATCTTGATCCAAATGTGATATTTGTTTCTCAGACTGTCAAAGCCATCTCTCAAAATCTTTGGACGTTATGAGGTGAACTGAGATGAATGATTGGATGGTACCTGCGTCGTGCTTCAGTCGATTGCGAATCGTGGATGCTATCGCAGAATGTATTGTACTATAAGCTTAGCTGCACTTGCATACTGACAGAGTACCATCACAATGATCCCATTGCTGTACATGGGGACGCGGGACATGCCCTACTTCCTTTAGCGGGGCGGAAGTGCCGTCTGAACAGTCCACAGCAGCTTGGTGCCGTACACGGTACAGGGCCGCGCACCTTCCTGCAAAATCTGTGCAAAACCGCGCCAGCGGGTCAGCGGCCGCGGCTGCCCGTGTCGCGGCAAAGCGCTAAGCTGCCCGGCCGCCGCATCAGCAATGGCGGGAGAGCGAGTCCTGAGTTGTACCTGTGTGAAGAAACAACAACGATGTAAAAAAGCGACGGGTCTTATTCAACCTTCTCAGTAGAATTATCTCGTGGAGCGCACGATGGCGCAGGGAACCGAATCCACTTTCGGAGGAGCGCAGCCGCGGTCTTCGCTGCCTGGCGACGTTCTGCGCATCATCCTGAACAAAATCGGCCTGAAGGATCGCCTGCGGCTGGAGCTGCTGAGCAAGAGCCATCGAGACACGCTGAGGGAGCCGGAACTTTGGCGGGAGCTAAACCTTGCGTCCATGCAAGCTCTGGACCTCAGCGATGACCAGCTACTCCATCTGTTGAGCAGAACGAACTCAGGCTTGTTGGAGAAGCTCTCATCTCAGGTATACGCCATGGCGGAGATTCTCGAGGAACTGACGCAGGCTGAAAGCTTCATCAAGAGACCTTTCAACGAGTGTCTGAACAGGCTACCAATGGCTGTGGAAGTTGGTCCCCACAGAGCCAACATTCTGTTCCCCCTGACTGCGATCCTCTTCTCTTTCCTTTACCGAGTAGTGCCGGCATCTTGGGGTCCAACAAGAGCGATCGTTGAAACATGCACAACCTGGTTCAGCGACCAAGTCAACCGGGTGATTCGGATCTTCCCTCGGATCTTGAGACTCATCGCGGCTTGTCAGGCAAATATAAAGCACCCCAGTGCTTTCAAGAGGACTCTTCTTGCTTCCTTCAACGGTCCACCCAGTGTGAGGCTTGCTCAAGTAGACTCAGCAAAGGTTGCTGTTTTTTTAAACGCCTCTGGGGCCGCAGATCTATCACCAGCCTTCATCGCAGCCTGCATCGTAGCTCTCTCAGCCGCAGGATTCAAGACAGAATTCAGAATGGAGGGCAACATGGACCCTCTGTTCTCCCTGCACCTGGTCAGTCTGATCCAGGCTTTGGCTGTCGACTGCTCAGTGCGCGTAAATCTGCTAGTTTCTGGCGCGCACTTTGGGCCGAATCTGAAGCACTTTCTGAAGAACTTCAATTCTTGGTTGGGTGATCAGGAAGGGGGTTCAGAGCATGATGTAGCCGCTTCTCTCTCCTCGAGCCTCGCAGCATTCCGTTCCTCGGTGTATCCGGATTCATCAGCAGCATATCAGAGATTCGAGCAGAAGTTTTTCGTCCTGGCTAAGCTCAGGACGGAGGTCGAAGCGATAGCAGGCAGGGCTTATACACGCGGTGCTAAAGCCAAGGTTTTGAGCCAGAGTGTGGTCATTGAGAACCTCCTCAATGGAGTAGATCAGCATCTTCTGCGAGACGAACTGCAGGAATACCTGAGCGCGTCACCTTCCAAGCTCCGCCTCGTCTTGCGGAACTGCCGGCTGAGTAACGCAAACATCGTTTCGCTCTGCGATATGCTGGGGGAGCGTGGTGTGGGCCACGTCACATTTCAGCAGACTGGATTCATGCGCCCTAGGTTCCGGTTGGGAAACTCCGTCCTTTCGTCTTTGGGGTTGCGCAACAGCAAGGACCTTCAAATCCTGGAGCTGGACTGTCGCCTCCGTCAATCAGACTTCCACGCACTGACCGCTTTCCTGGATGCGAACGAGCCGGGTGCCAAGATCCAGATCCATATGCGTCGGTCCTTCTACTGCCTGGACCTTCGCAAAGCCCGGGGAGTCCTCTCAAAGCTGAAGGCGCTGTGCTCCTCAGAGCGGGGTGCCCGGGTGAGAGTGGTGCAGCACCCAGGTGGAGCACCGGGCGGGAGTCTTGATCAGGCCACGGATAGCGTCAGCACCTTCGATAACTCGCCCTTTGAGCGCGAGGTTGCCACAGCAATAAAGTACGAGTTGCTGCTCAAGGGAATATACCTCACTATTGACGTCCTGCAACTCTTCGATCAACTATCCTGCCTCCTCTACGTCTTTCAAAGGATGCTGCTGGGGCAAGCCAAGCCGCTGACGTCACTTTGGGGCGCGGGATTCGTTCTCGAGTCCATGTGGCGGCCAGTCCACTCTTTGCTACAAGGCGAGAGCCATGTTTTGGCTGCCAGTGCTACGAGCCTTTTCTATGCTGCGCTTTTCCCGTGGTACCGCATCCTAGTCCAGTACGCGGTTGAAGCTTGCGTGGCGTATCTGTGGGCCTGTCTTGTTTGGACAGCGTTGAAACAGCTTGCTAGGCTGCCAGGGGCGGCTTTAACACGAAGGTAGGCGGGAATGGAATGGGGTTAAGGTTGTCGAACTGAAGTACTGTGGCTCCCGTGGAAGCTTCCTGAAGAATCCAGAGAACATTGCGTACTTTCATAAAGGACATCAGACTCTGGAGCATGTACTTGTATGCTCAAAAATACCGATTGCTCTGGCGGTTTGTACATCTTAGGCAGCGATATTTTGTTTGGCTTTCAATGCAGAAATCAAAGACTTCTCATCATGTTCACATGTTTCTTTTCCGACTGTCAAAGGTCAACTTAACCCTCAATTCGGTGTCGCTTGATGTACAAAATAAGGCCAATCTGCAGCATCTAATCGATGCTGTGCGACGACTGAGGCGCCCTGGTCTTGCATGCACGTAATGCTGAAAGCATGGTATGACCCGACCGCTGGATAACACACGGTTGTGTCATGGGACTCGCTTTTCATTCACCCTTCTAATGTGAGCGGGCTTAGACTAACTCGCTTATACATCCTCCAATGACAAACGGCAGCACCACGTGTCACCTTTCTGTGGAGTGTATGCATATACAGATACACGCGATTCATATGCGACACGACAACACGATGAGAGATAAGGTTGGCCGCCATGTGCACCATTATAGTACCGCACGACAAACCACTTGGAAAGTATGTACATGGCCAGTCAAAAACATAAGCCACTTGAACATGTGATAGTGTACAGCTCATGATGTATAAGCCGCCTGCTGTGGTTAGCTCCATATCAATCTGGATATCCCTATGAATCGGATGTGGCTGCACACGGCCGCGGCACTGATCGGCATATAGACCCAAGATCCATTTGATGTTCTACAAGTGCGCTTATTCACTTATCCTACGTTACGATATATATCATGGACGCATTTACCAACAAATCACAATGAACAGATTTGGAGTGAAAAAGTTGACCGTATACCGAGACAAAGCCATGCAACGTGCTTGATAGTCAAGATCCGTCCTTGCATACCTACACGAGTCAAGCTGCCTCTAGCAGACAAACTCGGAAAGGAAGAGCAGTATTCTTCTTGTCCAAAATGCTAGCTGATAATGTCGATATACTTTCTTTTATTTGATCAGTTCATGTCGAGTTTGTTCAATGCGAAGCTTCGATGGTTTCAAAGTCCAACTGTTTCTTGATGTTGCCTCACCCGCTTACACGGGCAAAAGAGTAGGACTCAAGATTATCCTACAGGCTGGCACATACGTGCGCGTACAACTTGAGAGTCTCTTGGCTTGTAGGACTTCTAATCGGTAGCGTTGTAGGGACGTTTGATGGCACAGCCCCCGTGCTAGCGCCCCCTGCCGCCACTTGAACTTTGAGAAGAACAAGACAGTTTGAGTGAAGGTTTTTCAGAGAGGTAGACTTCAACAGCTCTAAGAGTTTCAATAGCAGTTCAGGACTGCTCTCAAATCTGAACTTGACAGGATTCTTGATTGCCGTCAACAATCTACGCTTACGATTGCGGCAGCATGTAAACAAACAAGGGATCTCTACAGCACCGAGATGTTTCTGCGAAAAAATCCCTAAAGCAAGCAATTTGTCTTGGGAGCATTGGCTAACAGGTCAAGGACAAAGAAGTTGCGGTGTGTACAAGTGTGATACAAATGCTATGAGGTGATCGAATTTCACTGTTTGTTGGGCACGGTTCCAACATCTTCTTCATGACCTGAAAGCTGACCTGATGTCAGGAGACATAACAAGAGCTGCCAACCTCACTGCAATTGCAAACCTGCTGACACTGGCACCTGTCGGCACAGAGGCAAAACCCTCTGGTTAATCTAGGAGCACACAGAAACCCGATTCTGAAAATGTTGCAAACCACAGCAAAACAGAGTTTTGAAGTGGTGATAAGGAGGGCAGGAAAGCAGACCTCAGGTGGGGCACGTTGCAGACTGCGCCTCCAGCTCGGATCAAATTCTCTATCGACTCAACCGCCTGCTAATAGAATGGGGAGAATGGGGAGTCAGCTCAGCAATCGAGTTGGCATTTGCTCGGCAAGAAATCAGGGAAATGCAAAGCTCACCCAACATTGGGCTCCCCATGAGAGCTGCATCAACCAAACCGAAGCAGCAAAACACATTACTATGTTGCAGAAGGGGTTCAGGTCGCCCTGCCAAAGTTGCAGAAGGGGTTTAAGCCAAATCAGACAACGAGTTTGCAGCTGGAATGAGCCTGGCGACACTTTTGCGCGCCAGGTTCATTGATAATCTTTCTTGCACTCGCTCCTGGCGGAAAGTTGCTGAAGTATCCAGGAAGCATACAGCTCAGAATCAAAGAGCAAACAAGGGAGTGACAGTTTACCTTATGGGAGTTTTGCTAGTGAGAATTGAACCATCGAATGACCGCTGAAAGTGAAAGCTTGTGGGCCAATGCAGCAACTTTGAAGATACTTGCTTTCTCAAGGGAGGCCATCGTTCTCGTGGTGAGTGCCGAGACCTAACAAGCAGATTGGACTCATGTCCAAACACGTCGGGGCCCTGCTGAAAATGCTGACAAACCGCCGCTTAACTTGAGCTCACCTGACTAAAAATGTGGCATGAAGGAAGCCATGATCCACCCACTAGAAAGCCTCTGCCCCGAACCCGGTAAGGTTTGCCTGAAAGCTTGACATGCTGTACTATTAAAGATCCAGCAGGTCTGCCGCACTGTGTGCCCCCTGTGTGCCATGGCAGACTCGCAACCAGGCTGCCAATAGAGCTGAGCCCCCTTGCAACTACCTAAATATACATGAAATGCAGTGGGATACCTGACTCTTGAGTCCTGACTCCTGACTCCTCATCATGGCTCATGCCAATGGTGTGGCTGACTTCACTTCCAGTATTACTAAGTAATACATAGCACTCGTAAATTTCCTCGTCGACCGAGTCGGTCCGCCAATATTGGATTACTCATTTTAGTGTCAAGTGGACTCGAACTTGATCTGGGGGAGAACGAAGGCAAAAGAAAAGGTGGAAGCTCTTGAACGACCTTCTTCCATGGCTGCCCACAGCGCTTGAGTATCGATCCACGGAAATCTACCAAAGCTGGGGGACGCCTTTGCAAGACATCCATGGAGCTCTAGAAGGAAGGAGCATCGTGTATTTTGTCATGGCAACCATTGACACACATCTGCGCAGAGGCCACATTTACAGCCAAACTCCTACAAAACTGCGCATTTATTGTGGCAAGGCTCAAATTTACCTACGAGCGCCGTCCGAACTACCTACTTGCCGCCTACGGACTGCCGCAAACTTGGCGCAATAAATAGGTCGAATATTGGGAGTTTGTTACGGCGCGGCCTCCAACATATACCGACTTGGGGCAAAATTGCCCCGAGCCAAGTTGTAGCTGTCCCGTGCACGGGACAGCTACGGTGCAAAATTCCTTGGGGGAATATTCCGGCAATCTCCGCGGAAAATTGGCGGCGTTAGCGCACAAAGTCGAAATTGATAGTCCGCCAAATGCCTGCCAAGCCCGTGCCAAAAATTATTCCGCGTGCTGCAGCCTCGGTACAAAATTGGGGCAGTTTCGCTGACTTTTTGACCTCCGCTACTGTGCTACAAAATGCGCATCGTTTTGACACCATGGCCCTGGCCCTGGGGCCGCCTGAATCATCGCAGGTAGCTGCAATGCCTAATATGCCGGGCCTAGCTTGGCTCATGAATGTAGAGCCGTAGCTCTGGCCTTCATGGCGGAGGCTCGCCAGACACGGCCAGAGGCAGCAGCACTGAAGGACATGCATTGGGAAGGACATGCAATGCAGGGAGGCTAGTTGTGTGTGCCGCTTAGCTCGGCGCCTCCTTGCGTGGAGTCTGGGAGGCAGTGACACTGACAACAGCAAGGAGGCTGTGGGTCGAGAGACGCGCGCAAAGGCAGCGCCGCTCAGGGGCTCAACAAGCAGCTGATGAGCAGCACGTTGAGGTTGGCTAGCAGCGCATCGTGGGGGGAGGCAGAATGACCTTAAGGCTAGAACCCTTGAGAGCGCGATGCTGAATATGACCGCAAAAAGTTGCATTCCCATGCCCGCATTGCCCAGCTCATCCACCGCCCCTGAGCTGCGCATGCTACCACCCATAGTGTTCTGCACCTCAGCTGGCCCTGAGCAGCAGTGCTCCTGCTGAGCGCCGGGCATGCCAGCCCTGGATGGTCCCCGCTTGGGCTGCGAGTTGGCGCTGGCACTTCCGCTGGACACGCTAGAATACACCGGTACGTTCAGCAGAAGCAGACAGAAAGCGGCTGTTTGTATCTCAGTTCATTCACCAGGTCAAAGGGTTGCCTTACAAAATGATGTTGCTATTGAGAGGATTACAGGTCTCCTCCTTCCGGACATTTGCTTCAATGTAGGTTCAGAGCTACTGAAATGATGTGTACATTGCTTAGTGTCCCCTTACAAGGCAGGCCAGGAAGTCTGACAAGTCACCTTAGTCCATACCGCCTGTTGCATAGGTAGCTCTTGCGCGGCTTGAGTGCTGTTTCAAGCTTCAGCTGCTTCATCGTCGGATTGTGTATGATTGCTTTTCAAGTCGTCTAAGGTTTTGCTTGTGATGCTACGCTACTACCAGCTTGCTTGTTTGCTGTTTGGGGAAGCCGTTCACATTAGACAGCGATGATTGCTAAGTGGCTCGCAATGGTGGGGTTTACTTGCCAATTTTCAAGTGGAAAACACATTCGTCGCGGACGTGGTGTTACGGCAAACTAGCTCTGATACATGTCACAAGAAGCTTCACAAACCATGGCGGCATGGAACTCTGCAATATCCTCAATCGTTTCCTCTGCAGGCAGCTTTCAAGCGTGCGCTAGGCTGACAAATCATGAAAGAGTTGGCAGTCATCACCTACACCACTGACTAAAGCCATCAAGTGAGCTTTTGCTCTGCTCTGCTCGCTTTTAGTTGAGAGGTACTTAGAGCCGGCCTAGCTGTTGGTTATACACATGTAGAGTCCTGGACAGCAGGATCTTGGCAAGTCAGATAAGTCATAAGTGGTGTGGCTGTGTTATTTTGCAAGGCAACAAGCGGCCACAACTGCAATAAGCTCCATGACCTGTCTTAATGCCAACCGCTGCTCTTGAAGCTCGCACGAATGTTGCATCGCGCCCCCGCAATCTTGTACAGGTGGCGGACATCAGTGGCTTCATTGAATGCATTCATGTGGTTAGGTACAACAGAAGCTGCACCACCATTTTAAGCTTCAGTTTGAGTTTCTCATGTTACTAATTCGACTTGGAATAAAGTCTACTCATCCCGCTCGCTTTCCTTGCTTGTTTGCAGATTTCGGCGGGCGGCGAATGTGGTAACTTCATGCCTAACATTTCGACCTTTGCTTGGCAAACTAGAGCCTTGCTTCTTGAACCCCAAGAGCGCTTGATGTTCTGTCTGTGCCACTCGAAAGAGAGCTCTGTGGGTCATCACTCTTTCATGCTTCGGTTTTTGTATGACGTTGAGCTGAGCTGCAGATAGCATGGCGAAAAACCAAAGTGCCGGCACTCATATTAGGCCTTCAAGTTCTTACAGAATGCTGTCAAGCTCAAGGTCTGCAGATTCGTACGTGATGGCCGGCCTGCGTTGCAATGGTATATGGATTGCAAATAGTCAGGCTCCCAACGATTGAACGTACTCAGACTGCCCACGCTTTCATGATGGTATCTTTTCAAATACGCCGTCGCCAAATTGGCCATAGGCTTCTCATGGCACACAAATGTGTCGAAGTTCGAGTGAACCTATGCCAGCTGTGATTTACACGTGACTACCCTAACAACCTACCGAGCAAATTTTTTACGAAACTCTATGTCCCAACGGTAGCTTTTCGTGGCTCGACCCTCCTGCTACGAAGATCTCGAAAGGCGCCGTCGCTCAGAGCTTCGCTTCGGTTGTCACGGTAGAGTTGGGTTAGGTAGAAAACAAACTTACAACATGAGGCGTGCAGAACGTCTGACCGTTAAAAAACCCCTGCCCCGTACTTCAAAGCTTAGGGGATCTTTTCGTTTTCGGAGGGGAAAAAGGTATCCGGCGACGTTGTACACGGTCATGTGTAAGACATCATTATGCGATCTGCAATGAACAGCAGCTAGTGACTAGGCCGGCCGGCCAGTTATGAGCCAGATGAGGCACATGCGAAAGGTTCAGTGGCACAAGCCACCGACTCGAGGGCCGGGTTGGCAACACCCTCCTCATGACATGATCGATCGTCCAGGTGCCCGATTCGGGACCCTATGATGCTGAGTGATACCTTACGGGGGCGCACGTTGGCTCCAACTGCATGGCCTTATTATGCTATACCCTATATGTCTGTTGCATGATCTTACAAGGTTCCAAGCTTCAACTATGCTGTACAAGTATTTGCAGGCCTAAGTTGACCTTTGCATGCCTGTAGGCTCCAATCGCTGAAATGCATACTTCGCTGCTCTATGTCTCAAGGCCTCCTTCGACGATCCGCCAGGTTTTCTTTGCAATGTCGACCAGATCCGGACGTGGATAAAGACCTCCCCGGGGTGCTGACAGAGCCCTGTAAGCGTAGAGCCAATGAGTAATAACTCCCAGGATTCTCAAATGAGTCCATTCATAAAGTGTCCCCGGGCGCATTGGAGTCACCAACCCCAACATTGGCTTACCTAAATTCCAAGCACACCGTTACGACACGCTCCATAAAGTTAAGTCACCGGAGGTGATGCAGTCAGTTGAACGGATTTTGAAGCCCCATCTTCAAACTAGCTTTGAAGGCTTTGCTTCTGATCGACAACTCCGTGCGACACGGCTGCTCACCTATCTTCTGTCAGCCTGTTGTCGTTTGCGCTTGGCCGGCAATCCTTCCCCCTCGTGGCAGGGAAGTAGTCACAATCGAGAATCTCTATCGACCTGCATGAGTCGTTGGCCGAGAAGTCCTAATTCGCGAAAGACATTTTCACGCACTCGTGAATCGGGAACGTCGCCCAAGTGTACAAAGACGAGGTAGGGTGTACAAGTTCTCGAACGAGAACTTGTGAAGGTACAGTGCGATTTGAAGCACTTCTCATACCATCTCTGCTGGCTTGCAGGCATTCACCAAGCTCACATGAGAGCGACGATTCATCTTTTCATCTTCAGAGTACCTAAGCGAAACAAATCCCTGCCCATCGCAATCCTCAAGATACTTTGCCGCAAAGAGCGCTCTTTGCAGACTGCAGCGGACAGAAACTTCGAAGACTCATGAAAACTAAGTGCAAACAAAGGGAGACTCTACATCTCAAGATCAGCCTGCTTTTAGCGGATACTATTGATTCAGACCTGACAACTGAAAGGATTGTCCCTTGAGGCCCACGTTCGTGAGAGCGATATCAAGCAAACTTGAGCTGGCATGCGAAGCAAAGAACGTGGTTTTCTATACATAAGGCGACGATGGCGCCAGCTCACCCGTCCGCCCTAACGCGCATGTGCCCCTCCTTTACTGCCGCGCCCCTCAGCAGGCCTAGCGAGACACATCAACCGGAATATTTAGACTGCCAATTGTTTAAGTCTGTGCACGAGAGAACTTTCCAGGGACAGTCAGTCGAGAAGTCGTACTTCGAGTCTGTCTAAGTCTGCCGGGACGTCTGCAAATGGTAGCCAAAGCACAAGCCCGGGCGAACGCACCAACCATCCCAGAAAGTTGCGCACTGCGAAAAGTTGAAGAACGGCTCCAGTCTCGTCCGGGCTCGAGCAGGCCGAGTGCGTTCTTTGAAGGTTGAATATCTTAACGCTCTCAGTGTCGAAGCAAGCACTTGACAGAATCCGACAAGCGACTTGACTCTCGACAATTTCTAATAGAATCTGCAGTGTTCATCACGAGCTTCGTAATGTCAAAAAGGTTAGCGCATGTCGTTTGTCCTTAAGCCTTGCTCGCGCAGCTTCACTTGAAATCTCAGTCGCACACAAAGTGAACGAGTATCCGGATGCACATATGCAACTATCTAGAAGAGGTTGATTGGTGGCCCACAGAGTTCCGCCAAACAGATATGTACGCAACAGACTTCAAATACCAACTATCGAAGGATTGGCTCACCACCAGTGTCCCCCAATCCGGTCCCTAGGCAACGCACACATTTGAGCAGGCCCCGGCCGCTGCATTGTGGACACTCCAAGGTTTGCTGAAAGGTAGGAACAATATCTCTTTTAGGGATACAAAAAACTCGTACTCACTATATGGCTTTCCAACATGGAACCTGTCTCTGATTACTTTGCACTGTCAAAATCGATGCACCCTGTTGGACGGTACAATATCGAGTGGCTGCTTTAAGCAGCTGGATGGGATCCCGGATCAATGCATGCTTTGGTGCTCAATGACAAGTCGAAGATACTGTGTTGTATCTCATGCCTCTTGTCTTATGAGGAGTAACAACTCCCCAACCGAAAGACTCCCTTAACAATCAAACTAGTGGTCATCTTAAAAGCTTAAGGCCAGACGCTATTTACCTCTATCCCGTTTTGAAAGCCTTGTCGCCACTGCCCGGTCCCCCCGCACAAGTTACACGGGACTGCTCCGCTTCCATGACATTGGGAGCATAGAGCCTCGCCTTGGGAGCTGTCTGCATGACTGGCCTTGCAGCCAAAGACTGCCTTGCACAGACACTGCACAGAGAGACGACGGACTGACAAGCGGAAGTTTTCCATGTGCAGAAGCCATGGTGTGGATGTGTTGATTGAGACTGTTGGAGGAAGAGTGAAACGGGGATGAGTGCAGAGAAAGTAGATAGTTTGTAATGTTGCCAGCTGTGGTGTTGCCTCTAAACACAAAACATTCAAAATCTAGTAAGGCTCCAGCCTGCATTCCATGCCTGTGTAATAGGACCCCTGCGACAACCTTGAAAGGCGATTGCCTGTGAGCAGGGGTGAACGCTGCCCAGGATGTGCAGGCGCCCTCGTCAAAAGGGTGAGGCGAAAATGAATCAGGTTTCAACATCAGTCTATATTATTCCTCGCACTTACACTCGAAAATTAGAATCTCCAAATCGATGTTAGAACTTTTACTCAATCTGGCAAGGCAAAAAAGAAAGTGTGACATTAACAATGGCAAACGATGATCAGATCTCTCGACTCACGGTGCTTGCAGCAAGAAAGCCCCTCCGTCCCTTGACGGTCTCGAACTGCCGTTTAACGACTTCTGTTGGGTGCTTGCAATGATCACCAGGAGCCGAGTCGATTCCTGCCGCTCTGCCTTCATCAGCTACTTCCAGCCGGTGCACCTCCTTTCCAGTCTCACTAGATTTACGGTGACTCCCGGAGCTTTCTCGCCCCAGCCAGTTCCCAGGCCTGTGGACATTGCGGAGTGCTGACTTCCTACCATTTTCAGGATGTTTCCTGATAAGACTGCCGTGAATCTTCTCGATCAACTGCACAGTTCCTCTGCATGCATCTTGCCTAGGACCAGGGATGCCAAATAGCTGGTCCACAGAGTCAGCATTGCAACCCTTTGCCTGCAGATTTGTTGATTGACCTTTCCGAAAGCTGCCCGCCGCAATGTCGGATCGGAAAGGACTTGGCCGGCAGCGCGGCGCTGCAGAGAATGTACCGGTCCTCATCGTTGTGCATGTTCTGATGAGCTCATAGCCCCCTCTCTGACAGGGGGTCCTGCTGCTTAAGCTGCGATTACAGCAGATGGACGTTGAAGGCGCCATCTCATTCTCTGCTTCATCAGAGATTTGTGTCGAACGTGGCTGCAGGTGGGTGTGGAGCGAGCTGTCAACTAGAGCGCGATGCGACTTCAAAGCATGTTTTGAAAAACGGTCACAGGCGTCGTTATCACTGGCGTCGGTTTGTTTCAGCCTCGCCGCAGTGCCTGCCGGTGCCGGTTTATGAACTCGAGTCGAGCTAACAGAGGAGTTTTTACCATTACCATTAGTATGGGGCCCGGGGCCCGCGGCCGGGCCCACGGCTAAACAAAACGGCTAAACCTGCTCTTGGCTGAACTCAGCAAAGATCTGAATGTTGTTCAGCAAGCCGGCCTGCGTTCAGCAAGCTTGATTGGCTTAGCTGCCTCAGGCTCTATTCTCAGAGGCTAGAGCCTATACCCGTTACGCTTTCATCCCCCAACGCCCATTCGCCTCCATCTCCTTGTGAGAACTTGCTCCACGAGTGAAAGTCGGGGTCTTCTGAGGTTCCAAAGATGAGCACAGGATCTTCGCAGCCTGCCAAGGTCCTGGCCAGCTCCCGCACGTCCAGTTCACCTGCAAACGAAACAAGAATCCCCGACAGTCCCCCTCAAGCAAGGCCCCATTACGGCGCGAATCAGAAGGGAGGCAAAGGGGGCCGTTGGGTTGCCAAAGAGGGTGGCTTTCGCAGCAACAGTCCACTTAAGCAAGGCGGAAGTGTGGCGACTGCAAATGTGCAGCAAATGGAGGCGACCAAGACTAGAGGGGAGAAAGAGGAGGTGCCAGTCAATGCGGCATCGACAACGTACAGTGCACGGACGGTGACGCCACCAAGGCGGCATCGACGGGGCAACTCGTACTCAGATGAGGTACTTGATGCAAGCCTGAGCGGAGGACGGTCAGACTGCATTGCATCATCCGTTGTTTGTGAAGCAGCTCCAATGCGAAAGACTGTCTCCGAACCAGTTGTGCTTTTCGTGCCTCCTTGGTCAGAAAGTAAAAGTTTATTGTCTTTAGAACCACTGGCATCATTCATCAGGTCGTTCAAAGTGCTTTGTCTGGGTCTCTTACCCACGCATAGTTTTCATTTCTCCCACTGAACTCAGCTTCATGCCCTACAAACATGCTGTTCTCAAAACTCCAAAGATTGCAGGGAAAAGGCTTAGAGCAAGTTCTAACCAGAGCATGGACTCCACAATGCCCCCTCTTCCCCTCATTATCTCTCAGTGTCCCAACTTTTCACTGTCTGAAGTGAGTCCAGTACTGTGCCACAGGAGTACGATGAGCGGGGCCCGCGCTCCTTTCCCTGGGACGTGAAGGAAGCGTGCTGGCGAAAGGCGGAGACGGTGCCGGGGCGAAATCCGGACCGGTGGCGAATGGACCCGTATGGCAACCTGGTGTTCAAGAAGCTCGTGGCGTGTGACGGGTGCCTCTGCCACAATTACGATCACATACAGCCCTTTTCGAAGGCAAGGAACACGAGAAAAAGAAGCTCAAGGCTTCCGGGTGCCCGTCTGCTCTAGCATGATATCCTCCACCTTTCGGCGAATTCAATTGACAGTCCAACCAGTTGATCACAGCCACAACGATGGTGAGAGAGTGTCGAATGGTGATCCTTCCGGAAGCTTTTTCAGCAAACCTCCTGTGCCGCAGCTGTAGTTCAAGGTTGCATCTCCTTCTTACTTATGATTCTATAAACTTATGTGTTGCACCCCTTCCTTTCAATGTTGACGCCATGATCTGCTGCTATGCTGACCGGAGGAACATCCTGTGCAGGGGGGCAAAAGCGTCATAGAAAACTGCCAGCTGCTACAGGTGCGTACTTAATTTTGGACAGTGACGACATTTCCCTGTATCTACATGGAACACTTCTGCAGTTCTTTATAAGTGAACTCTGCCTTCTGCCTGTAATAATGTGAAAGCGGGCAGCTATTGCTCGCATGGCACCGTTTCTTTGTGGTTGGATTGTCGTACGAAGACGCTCTGATAGCAAGTCCCTGGGAAGCTTTTAGAGCGTCCATTCTTTCAAAGTGGTTCGCATCTTGTTGTCTCTTCAAGGGCTTCTTTGACACTTGCTGCGTTCGTTTGACAGACCTGACCTCTTCCTGTGGCGTTCAGGCTCGAGCGAATCGGGTCAAGAGCAATCGGACGGACATGACGTACTCAGACATTTCGAATCAAAGCGCCTACTGTCGATTCTCGAGTAAGTCTCGCACATGCCTTTCCAAGGGTTCGAACTAGCAGGCCCAAACTAGACCGGGCCTTCTTTTGAAGAAGTATTCTCGAGTTAACTCCTCGTACAGACACTTCTTACAAGATGAGTTGCAGGCTCACGCAAGCTTACTGGCGGAGAATAATACAACAACCTTGCTGCCACTGAAAACGTATTTCGGTCACCTTACTTTAAGGTGTTCTTTCCGCTCTTGTAGCTTGTTCTGACCGGTATGAGCTTGACCTTCTTGTTGCGTCTCGAGGTTGTAGACCTGTTGAAGCTGTTCATCGTTTATTGCTGAACCTCGCTTGAGTTTGACAAGGCGCCTGACGGAAGTATTCGGCGACTTGTTCAAGCCCTGAACGCTAACGAACGGTCGAGATCAACACTGTGAGTGACACCCTTGCAGAACGAGACATGGACGTAGTGGAGCTCGCGGCGTACGGAAACGTGGCCAAGACGGAAACACCAAGCGGTTGCTTTATATCCTGAGCGAGGCCGGATCGTTGGACCGCTTGGCCTTTAGGATTTGATCATTTTGCAGCGGATATAGATTGCGGAAAAGGTACCAGGTACTGGCCTTGAGTGGCCACCGTTCTTGCTTTTGGTTGAAGGGTTATGCACATTTGAGCATCGCAGCCTAACCTACGGCTTTCGAAGGCAGCGGGCAGTGTTTTGCTGGTTGGCTCGACGGTGGTGCCAAGAAGTCGTGAAAAGGGGCTTCGAGACCAGTTCAATCGTCCTGACCCTTTTATATTCTTAGAGTGGCCGGGGCAGCAGGTGATCCCCTTTGCCGATTTCCAGAGAGTTCTTGAGCTAAGACAAATCTTAATTAGAAAACAAAGCAGTGAACTTCCTGATGTGCACGCTAAGGTGAGTACTGGGCTGACATCCTGTTGATGTATACCTGTAGAAAAGAAGTGCGTCTGCGTAAGTAATAGGTGACCCACTAATAGGAGTCGCTGATGAGCAAGATGGGGCGGTCGATTCATTTCAAACTGCAACGGTTTTCCAAAAGTTAGCACTTTAACCAGAGCTCAAGTTCTTGATATTAATTGTTGACAGAAGTTGAACTTTTGTCAATCTGAATAAATGAGGCCCGACCAAACATCAGTATTCATGTATGCGTGCATAACAACCATATAAACTCAACCCCCACATGCTTAATTCATGGTACCACGCGGCTGCATCAAACTCATTGGAGCAACTTATTAAGCAGGCCACTATACTGTACTGCCTAGCAGGAGCAGGTGTTCAATGCTAATGTCCCATGCACTGCACATGTCTTCAGTGTCATGTATCCGAGTCGCCCTTCCGGCCATCCGACCGACGATGCGCATGCGGTGTAGATCGTAGCATGTCATGGTTAATACTAGTAGCTAGCTAGCGTTTTCAAACGTTTACCCGGCTCAGGCGCCATGCATGCAACGGTCATGACGAGGCGGCTCGGGCCCACAGGAATACTAGCCGGCCTGCATCATTTGTAAGCTTTGCGAGCACCTGATTTACATTATGTGCGCCACGAAAATCATCAACTTGAAGCCTGCCGAAACATTCTTTGATGCAAGTGCATGCGCGACTTGTGATTGAAATCGATTGTTTCCTGCTGCGCAACTTCTTATGACGGTGGGACGCCATAAAGGCAACCTTCCCTTACCTTGACCGAATATGACTTCCGGACCAATGTGTCCATTGTGCTCGTGCGGCGGCAGTGTCTGCCCAACGTTAAATACTATAAGAATGGTTATGGCCCTCATTTAGGCCATTAGCGGGCGTATCGTTTTCTTCGCCCATGAGGTGGTCTAACCTGCCCCCGGGGAAGAGCGGCGGCATCCCCGGGCTTTCGCTGCTCGTGCTGCTTTTTGGCGCCGGTTTTGGCGACAGCACGTGCTTAGGCGGCAGCTTTTCGACGACGAAATGGTCGACGATGCGCGCATTGCACTGCTTGTCCCGGAACGGGGACACCGGAACCCACAGGCTTGGGTGGTCCCGCAAATGGGACACTGCAAGAGAACGCATTCGAGGGAGTTGAAAGGGCCTGGATTAGGACCGAGAAACAGACCATCATGCAACTCGAGGAATCATTCTCGCTCTCACAAACGCGCCGAGCGGATCCAATATTTTGGCACCGGAAGGAAGTGAAACGTACAGAAACGAAGTTGCAGAAAAGAATGCAGCAACCGGACGACAGAGGCAGCCGTATGGTCCATAAAACCAGCAATCAAAAAGGGGAAGCCTATTTTCTTGATTGATGAGGCCTGTAAAATCTTTTCTGGAGTGCCTGGAATGAAGAGAAAGACGGACCTGGTTTCGTGGCATTTTCTGCTTCCCATAGCGGGTCAAGAGCCCACTCCCGAGGAACTTTGTCAACGGCGATGGAGAACACCTGCAGGAGAGGATCAGCCGTTCAAGCGCCCCGGCATCTCTGGGAACATCAATGTCTCCATTCTACTCTCTGAGTCTGGGAATACATCGAGTTCTTTCAAAATGTACCAGCTTACAAACAGATACCGTCTTGCGCAAACCGAATAAGTCAGCACTACAGAGGATCCTTGACGTCAAAGACTTCTCCATTGTCAACAGCGTGATAGGGAAAAGCCACATGCCATCCAATACCGGGTTCAAAATCATACCAGCACCATTCTTTGTCAGCACGGAAAACCAATAATATCGAGCGACTTCGACCAAAGAGAAGAGCGCAGCCCCAAGACCGCCTCTCACCTCTAAGCTGCCGTCCGGCCGTATGTGACAGCGGCAGAAGGACTTGTAGTTCGCGATGCGCAGCGAGGAGAAGGCCTCGTCAAAGTGGAGGCTAAACCAGTTGATGGAGATGTAAAGGTAGCAGCCGAAGACAAGAGATACGATCGGAGTGGAGAACACCCAGTAGTACAGAAAGACGGAGGCGTAGTAGATGAGCGTGAAGTAGCGGGGAAGCGCGTCCATGCCGTGCTCGCAGATCTGGCCCCGCGTCACCGCCATAACCTGAATCAAGCAAACAGGTTGAGATCAAGATAGTCGAGCGAGTCATGTAACATCAGGATTTCTTGCAACACAACAGCTTTCGGTAGCGGTCGACTGGCCCATTTCCTTTAGCGTAGGCATGCAAGATCTATCACGAACCCAGAGCAACATATATGCTCTGGCCTCCGGTCAACAGGCGTACCATATTACGCAACCCATAAGCACCTCCAGAGACACAGACACATAAGGGGGGTAATGAAAAGTTCGGTCGACTGATTCCCGTGATTGATTACGCAGTCGGCCCAAGCTTGATTCTTTCTGTCACGTTCACTAAGAAACAAATGCTCCTCAAATGCAAAGACGTGAGAAGTGGACAATGGGGAACCAGAATGTCAGGAGACTCAAGACCCAGTTTTCAGAAAACTGAAAAGTCAACCTCAATCAACCCCAGAATCCAGAAACTCAGACTCCGCGCACCTCCGGGACGTCGAAGGCGGCCATGAGGTACTTGACGCAGGCGGGGTAGAAGCCGTAGGTCCACTCCTCCATGCGCCGCCGCAGCCCGGTGGGGTCCGGGAAGTGCTCGTTCCCCACCTGCTGGTACCAGTCGTATAGCGTATGGTACCCTGAGGTGCCCAGCAGCTTATGCCGCACGCACACGTCGACACCCAGCTCCAAAAGGAGCATCAACACCAGAGCTGCACGGGGGAAGGTAAGGGAATGTGCTACCGCCCTCAAGGGCGTTTGGCCTTGTCTCTCCTGCAATCTGATGCTTTCCGGGGATGTGTAGACTCCTCCCTTACATTCATCGCTGAACTTTAGACTGATTTATTGGATGCTCCAGACGGGCTGACTAAGGCTCTCCTACATGTTACGGACTCATTCGTGGGCGACGGCTGAGTATTGGCAACAGCCGCTGCTTTCAAGGATCCAGCCGAAAGCGGATGCAATCATCTTGCTGGCTCTCCATCGTTGTACCGACGGCTTCCTGTAAAGCTTCCATGAAGTCTCAGGCAATCGTCCCTATCACTACGTAGTCACAAAGCCAATTCCCAACTACTACCGTATTCACAAGCAAACTTCCAATCCTTACCAGCGAATAGGTGGGCGCCCAGATGCAGGCAGCCGATAATCATACGTGTACGCCGAGACGCCCGTCCCGGGACGAACAGAACGCTGCACCAAAGAAGAGGATCGTGAGCTCAGAACGCCCGTACCGACCAAGTCAAGGAGAGGTGTTTTGCTGCGTAGTAGGAACTTGCCAGCAGAATTATCGTAGGCGCCCACATCGTACGCAGAAAAAGTCGCTGCTAGGTCGGATTCCAATTCAATTGTCGAACAATCCACCAAGGGCGCTCTCAGACATCTCTGATCATATCTGAAGCAGTGCACAACCCCTGAAACCAAGTGGCCCCTCTTCGAGGAAGCGGACTGCAGTGGTGAATTCCATCCGAATGAGTATAATCAGATAAAACCGATTACTCTGAAGTCTGGTCATAAGTTGACTGTTGGATTTGGTAAAGATCAAGATGCAGCAGCCGTGGCAAGTTGAATCCTCCTACGACAGCGGAAGGGATGCCGGTAACTCTCGTGTGACCTCACGGGCGTGTGACCTAAGATACGAGTTACCCGGGCACTTCCAACTAAAAACCTAACCAATAAATCACCCGCTCCGCACCCCAATCCACCCTAACCACCATACCAACCCCACCCGTCCCCCGGGTGCCTATCTTAGGTCACACGGTTCTTAGGTCACACGAGAGTTATCGGAGTCGGAGAGTGGCGCACCTGAGGAAGAGCATGATGGTGAGGCCGGTCATTGAGACGTAGCTGTGCTGCAGCAGGTCCAGGCACGCCTCCGACATGGCGCGCAAGAACTGCAGCACGTGCCCGCGAAACGTTACCTGCACGCACGGCCCAAAATGTGTAAATTCAGGCCAGTGAGTAAGTTTGCCGGACATCGCCAGATGAAACCGAGTTCGTTAGGGACTCGTACGAGCTGCTTGGGTGTTTCAACGCATCCCGAATGCGATATTGCACTTTGGATTGCTTTTGAAATTCGAAAAAAAAGCTGGATCGGCTTCTGCCGTCCAAAATTTCGAACAAAAAGAGCAATGCACTTTCATCTTGCTCTGCAGCTGAAAGCGCGGAACGAGCTCGAATGCCAGAGAAGAATGTAGCAGGTGAAGGAAACGAGACGACCAAGAAACGTCCGACGCCCAACCCGTTTGACCACCGCTACAGAGAACAGACCGTGTCCGTTGTGGTCCAAAGCGTGCTGGTGCGTACCTGCTGTGTGACGGTGTCGATCTTGCACTGCGGGAAGAGCGAGAAGACGAGGACGAAGTAGACGAGGCCGCCCACGATGTCGAAGCGCCAGTTCTTCTTACGGAACTTGACGATGTTGCTCAAACTGATCTGTAAGCACGAACGCGCAGAAAATGTGAAGAGTCTGGCTGCCAAAAAGCTTTCTTCAACCGCAGAAGAAAGCTGATTTAGACTTAGAAGCCTGAAGTGCAGAAAGTAGAACATCCTCTCAATCAGGCTAGCACCGGGATGCAAGGAACAAGCATAAAATCCTTACCATCCTCCAATGCTGCGATCTTCAAAAGGGCGCCTGACTAGTGGGCCAATAGAATTTCACGCATAGCAAGCCCAGAAGCGTCAACGACAAGAATGACCAGCCTCTCTTAGCTTCTTAGTTCTGAGATTGTGCTCAGTACTCTTCAAGCGTTGACAACCAATGTCAAGACTAGCTTGTTTCCACTATTTCCGCCACCCACCTTTCGCGAGACGCTAACAGGGGGATAGACTCCCCGGCACTCGTACTTGGCGCCGTGCAGTTTGTCGAAGCCGGCAAACACGTGCGTCGGGTGTAAAAACGCGCCTCCCGCACCATTGACCACGAGATGTTCGTACAGGGGGGTGGCGGGGGAAGACGTGCTGGCAGTGTGGTGCATGTAGTTGTGCAAATCGCCCGCCATGCGCATGCGGCACCGGCCCCTGATGAAGAAAACTTTGTCACAATCGGGGACCACGTAGAGTAGACACGCAGTCAAATCTGATTTGAAGCACAGACTGCCAGGGATGGTAGCACCCGGGTTATACTAACCCTACTCACTCGTGGGTGAACCAACTTTTGAAGCGTTGGCCTAAACGAGGGCAGTAAACCGAAGTGGCGTGGCGTGTTAAACTGGGGACTCGCAGACGAGGAAAGGAACGGAGAAAGAACTTCAGGCGACAAAGGCAGAACTTCTCTCGGGCCCGCCAGAAAACCTGACCACTGCCGATGTCATTCAATGTCGTTTGAGAACGTTAAGGTGGGGACAAGATAGTCGAGACTAAGGAGCGGAAGCTTTATGATACAAGATCCAATTATGTTGTATGTCGCAAATGAATGGCAAGAAGACGCGCGCGCTCACTTGAGGTGCTGCTTGACGAGGTACGTGACGTTCTTGCCGGTGGCGTGGCCCCAGTAGTTGTCCAGCACCCAGGACGGCTCGTGCGTCAGGATGATGACGTTGTCCTCGGGGCCCACCTGGTGACGTCAGCGGCATCAGAAAGCTTAGCTTGCATTTATGTCCAAACAACCAAAATCCTCATTTTGTTCCCTGTTCATCCGCCTGGTGCAAGAATAAGACGGATCCCGACTTTCCTAAACATTCTGCGGACTTGCCTAACAAAGCTCAGGTAAGGTCGCGAAGGGGCACTGCGGATTTCTGAACTCCAGTTGCATAGAGCGTCCGACGCAATAACCGCACCCACATGCACGCCAACCAAGGAGATTCATCTGTTGCAATCATGTTTTCCGGGGCTCCCTGAGAAATAGGTCTTGTGAAGCAGGGAACCATCTGCATGGGATGTCTGAGAACTGCCCTTTGCGGCATCCTAAACAGTCCTGATGTGTCGATTGAGCAAAGTGGAAATCGTCCACTTTCGACCATGTTTCTTGGCGCTCTTGAAATCCAGCAGGCAAAATTCGCGGGAGGCTTCAAGCTCACCTGCTCGTCTGCGATCGTCGAGAAGTATTTGAATTGGAAGATGTCGATGTCTTCCGCGAGACCCTGGTCCAGCCCAAAGATCCACCAGCCCTGCGGCAGCTTCAGCGAGAAGTAGCTCTTCTCCTGCAACGACAACTGACGCAAGCTGAGACACTTTTCAGCCAGTAGAATTGCAAGGGGAGCGTGGGTTGAGCCAGCGGTCAAAGCTCCAAAAGTAAAGGGTCTGAAAGGCTTTCACGAACTGCGTAGCCGCCCCTCGATCACTGTTCCCAAGGGCGGACGAGATTTCGGCCAAGACAAAGATGGCAGGTTACCCCTGGACTCGCTCCTGAGTCCCGTGGGAGAGTTCTCGCAAATGTGAGCTGCCTGCAATACCCATTCCTCAAAACTCCTCGTAGCGATCAACAATCCGAGAACCAACCCCGCTGCCTTACCAACGAGAAGAGTGCACGCTGTGCGGGTTGCGAACCGCTGAATAATGTTTTCATTGAATGGACGAATATGTAACAAGCAGCTCGCGCATGACCATCGTTAGTGCCTGCTTCTTTTTCGAAAACGTCAACAGCAGAAAAACCGCCATCTCTCACCTGCGGCATAAGCCAGCCGCCGAGCCAGCTCTTATGGCAGATGTACCGCATAAATGTGTCCAACCCGTCCAGCCTGCAGCCAAAGATTCGCATGAGGATACTCGCGTTGGCTCTTGTGAGCTTTTCTCATGTCGGAGAGTCCACCACATTTGTGATGACGTAGAAAGTACAAACGAAGGAAGTTTAGATTAGGGGCTGTTTGAGAAAACCAGCTCAGTTCTGGAAGCATCTGGTGACTGAAGCAACCTCAGAGTTGTGTGGCAAGGTTTCTCTGGCTCTAGGAAGCTAATCTGTGCCATCAAGGCAGAGAGCAGGGTTTCGATACCGTCCTAACGAAACCGGAAATCACCTGGCAACTCCCCCAGCCGCTGATTGTGCAGAACCACAAGTAAACCCCGAAACCGATCCGTATGCTAGCTCTTCACGAATAGAATCAACCAGATGCGTGACAAAGAAGCGCAACGCGCGCAGATGACTTGCCAGTCGTGGTTCCCGGGAATGCAAAAGCACTGTGGGCCGTCGTAGCTCTTGAGACTGGGCACCCCTGGCGGCAGCTCCGGTTTTTGTACAGCAATCCTGTCCTTGTGGTAGCACGTCGGCGGCTGGAGCGCGTACTCAAAAGGTAGGAAGAGGCGCTTCTCGTACGACTCTTTGCAAGGGTTGGGGTACCTAAAACGGGCAAAAAGTCAACGCCTTTTTGAGCACGAGGACACGATAGCTGTTGAAAAAAAGTCAAGCGTCCCTGTAACCTTGGCTCCGTAGGTGCTACAGAGTTAAGCGTCCGTGAAAGCGAAAGGGATAAGAAGAAAGCATCAGACTCACAAGGGCTCATTCTGGCCGCGATGCATCGGACTGTAAAAGCTCTTAGCCAGCCTCCTACTTAAGACCTCTCAGTAGAAGAGTATCTGAAACCTGCGGTTTCGGATTGGCTATTCCTCGCTAGCAGACCACGTAATCAAGGAGGGAAGCGAGGAATAGCCAATCCGAAACCGCCAATCCGTGGTCTGCTTCGTCCCAGAATACACGGAGTTGGATCGTGAATAAAATATTATATCTCGAGAGAGGCGGAAAAGCTCACGCGAGGTCCCCTCCAATGAGCAGCAGCTTGGAGCGCGGCAGCACAATATACTTGTCCGCAAAGCGCAGCGTCAAATGGGGCTGCGCCAGCAAGCGTGCGATGGTATAAGTGGAGTTGCCGCCGTCCCCAGTATCGGCCATGAAGTCGAACCAGAGGTCCTTGGACGACGCCAGGTGCTTGTATGTGAAGCCGTTCCCGCGGGACTTGGCTTGCGCTGATGACATGGCGGCCTGAGCAAGACAATTTGGGATGATTTTAGTTTAAACTTCTAGGAGTTCAGAGGAGGTGAGTCTTGCAATTGATATTGGACTGTTCCTGCGCGAAGTAGGAACAGCGGAGGTGTGAAAACATTGATATCTTGAAGATCGATACGGTCCAGGGCTGGCAAGAAACGATGCTCACAAACATTTACTGCCAGAGCGCGCGGCGATCTGAGAATAAACCCAGCCTGTCCTGGCTCAGCTTGTCGTTATGATCGTTCGAGCATCTCCTGAAAGTGGGAAGAAAGGTCTCCTAGCCTCTCCTCCTTCTCGAGAAAGTGGGAAGAGATATCTTTAGCATACGGGGACTGAGACTTTTCATCATATCTGCAGATCAAGGAGAAAGCGACCAAAACTGTCAGGCTCACCTGCATGGTGCGCATGTCAAAGCGGCCGAGGAAAAGCGTGACGGAGATGATCAGGTCGAAGGCCGTCTTGAACAGGTCCGCAGAGGTCCTGCCAGCCAAGAACGAGCGGAGTTTGGTCACGGAACGAGATACGGGGTTGAGCTTTTGAAAGACTGAAAACGAAGTCCTTAAATCCCTAACTTTGCTGAACCGCAAGGGGTAGGTGCCGCAGTAAAAATGCGTGATTTTGGTTTCAGTCAGCGCTCTTCTCAACCTTGAAAGCCAACCTACTCAAAAGGCCCGGACCCAATCCTCCTAAAATCATAGCCTCAGGGGAAAACAGACGTCCTGCAGCGCAGCTCAAAGTCAGGAACACATGCAGCACTCACCCGCTATACCAGGGGACCATGGGCAGGAAGTCGGGCCGGTTGACCTTCTTGGGTTTGGGCTTAACCTTGGGTTGCTCCTCGGGTTTGGGGCTGGCGTGCGCGAGGGCCCACCCCGTGGAGCGCTCGACCACGTAGTGGGCTATGTACAGCGAAATGAAAGTCGCCCATAGCGAGTATACTGGGGAGATGAAGTCGGACGTCCCCACAATGGCGTCTTCAAAGACAGCCTGCCGAGAGAAGGGTGTGAGTTTTTCAGTCCGAACGTCCGAAAGACCAAAGTATGAGAAGTAATGAGAAGCGATTGCAGTTGCATTGATGGGATGACCCCACATATGTTCTCTGCTTACATGACACTGCGCGCAATTTCTGGACAGTATCTACGCGACATGCCGTCCTCCCATGACTTGTACAGTGTCATGGCAGGATTTCTGATGTCTGCGACACGAGAGCATTCATCAACTTAAGTGAGCGACCATAGCAAAACGGATCCGCATAAGGCGTCACAGGTTTGTGTCCTGATCATTAGCCTTTCCAGCAATCTCTCCACATACTGACTTGTTTCTAGACGTCAAGCACTTGAGAGGCCTGCGCAGCTCACCTCGCCATAGAGCGCCCACTTGGAAAACGTGGGGTAGTCGCGGGACGACCCGACCGGCCCGAGCCAGACTCGGCAGACCTGCTCCTTGAGGTCAAAGATGTGGCGCAGCGAGCGGGGCGGCGGGAGGACGGGCACCGCGTTGCCGCAGTGCGTGTAGAGTAGGCAACACGCGATGCTGGGGTGGGAAGGGACAGGAGAATGAACAGCTGTTGTGAATTTGGGTTTTTATGGGGGTACGTAAGGAGGAAACACACTAGGGAAGTCCAAAAGCAAAGAAGAGTCTGACTCACAAAATGCTCGACGAAAGGGGGCCAGGAGGAAAACAGATGCTTGAAAGGGCATGGAAGAAACTGGGAAGCAGTGGGCTAGGACGTTGGGGGGGGGGTGAGATGCTCGCATTTTGCGTACCGTATCACAGGAGGGTCCAGAAGCTTCTAGAAAGCTTCCAATCAACTCTTCAAAGAGTCAACAACAACCATAAGCTGGCTGTCAATGACAGGGCTGATCAGAACGGAATAAAGTTCTCGCAGATTTAACCTCGTGAATGTGCTCAAGCAGTAACAAGCAGTTCATTGGGGGGCGTATTTAACGGGGGGACATACCTTATTACTGTACTGTTCTGCAGGATGGTGAGAATCTCGGGCCGCTCCCCGGTGAGCCGCGCCGCCAGGCCAACGTACCACAGCCCCAAAAATGACAGATGAAAAGCCAAGAGGACCGCCGCGGAGGCAAGGAATATGGAGAGGAAGAGCGAGAGGCTCATTTTGATGTCCACCCCCATGGACTGGAAGCTGGGCAAGTGGTAGACAGCTGCGACGAGCAGCCACGCAATGTACCACCGGTTGAAGTTGGAGTAGTTGGGGGCCATCGCCTGCCAGGGGGGGGGGCAGTGTTCAAAGAGCGGGCCGTACTCTAGCAGGGGGATCCCCCCAGAACCTCTTATATGTTTTCATGTTTGAGTCGATAAACCTATCAAGAAGTCATCCTGTGGGCCCTTTTTTGCTGTGAATCTACCCCCACTGAAATGTATTTGAGGGAGGGCTTCAAAAACGTAAAGTCCACATCATTCCCCTTCTATACGTTGGTTTTGTCGGACGCAACACGATTATTGGGGCAGGCCAACGCTGAAGAGTTTCGACATTTCAACAGCGGGAAATGACAAAGTGGGCAAGTTTTGCAGAAGCAAGATGGAAGTATGCTCTAAGAAGTCCAGCCAACAACATCATGCAGAACTTGAGTAGGAAAGCCTTGTTCCCTATCAACAAGAATGGTGCTCCAATTCTGTTGGCAAAACAAGCTCGCTTCATTCCTGAAGCATGCTGAATCTGCACCACCACCATCAGTGATGACTCTCCTTCCGGCAGAATCCAACGCACGATTCCTCTTGTTCCCACAAGAAGCGTCATCTCTTGATTCACAAGATTCTGACATCAGAACCTCAAAATCATCTGTGACTGCTTCAGCCCATTTACGAGGCTTTTGAGCGGCTCACCTTCCCCAAGAAGGGCGACGCAAAGAAGTAGAAGAAGCCCAGGAGGAAGCCATAGATTGCCCACCATTTGATGTTGGAATCAAAGCGGTTGAGCAGGTTCTGCAAGTTATCGCTGCTGATGAAGAACAGCGAACCGGCCAGCACTGCGTAGGCCGCATGCCGGGAGTGCTCATGGGGATAGGGGAACTGATGCGCCAAAGTGGTCTTCTTCAGGCGGAATCCCAGCCGAGTCAACAGAGCCATAACTGCCCCAGGCTTGCTGATCTGAACATTGCTTGGTTTGTAACACCAGCTGCCCACTTTCCGACTGACACTTCACAGGTTCACACAGGTCAAGGATCATTCACCACTGCGGCTTCTGCTGCCCGCGCTGTGGCTGCTCTTGACAGACCTTTGACTAGAATAGCAGGTCGCTCGTCAAGCTCTGCTATGAATCACTAATGCTGCCACTGCCATCTCCCACAGCCAGACAGCACCCTGGAAGCATTCTTGCCCTCTCGGACGCTCAGCAGCGCTGTAGCCCCTAGCAATTCAAGACGAGCTAGCATCGCGCCAGAGAAGACGTGGAATTTCATAATAGGTACCGGGAGCGCTTCGTTTCTGGCGCTGAAGGAATATTCCAAAGCGCAGGTCTGAAGCAGAACTCGGCTCTGGCAAGGCTCTCACCGGACGCTGGCCAGGTCCTTATTCTGATTGAATACGACTTGGTCAGAAAGGAGTGGCCCTTTACGTCCGTACGATTGTATATTCAGATACTTTTTCGGCCGTCGATCTTCTTAAGGGCTGTGTGCGCGCGCTTCAGAATGTGCTCAGGCAGTGAATTGCGTGCATGTAAACTGCACATGCAAATTGGCGGGTGATCATCAAAACAGGTGTGGTACTTTCAGGCCAGTACGTCCACCAGTATCAGAGGTGTTGATCGAGACTCGACTAACATTGTTGAACAGATACAGAGTTTTGATACATAAAGGCACCATGTGCAGCCAGAACCAGCGACCCACCTCAGCCTGCCCCGCTCGCTACCGTTGATTTCGAGCTGCACGCAGATACCCACGGTAGAATGTGGCCCACCTGGAGCCAAAAGCACATTCAGCTCCAGCTTCAGGCCCCCAGTAGGATGCATCTTCTAGCTTGAAGACAGCTCTTGCTGAGAGCTTATGAGGAGGATGCTCTTGCTTAGGGTCTCCATCGGTTGACGCGCTTTGCTGTGCGGATGGACGGCTCCTCGGCGCCGCCTCCCGCCAGGAAGCCGCCACCGCTGCAAGCGCATGAGGCAGACTCTGCCGCCAAGGCAGATACGAAAGAGCTCGCTTCTCCATCTAGAACCAAGAGTAGACCAGCTAGAAAGGAGGAGAGCTCAGTCTCCAATGGGGAGCAGCAATTGGCAGCCAGCTCTAGAACAGATGGCTTGCAGCAGGAAAGGAGCTCAAAGCTGGGAAGTCCTAGAGCTGGCCCGTCACCGGCGTTCCATGCCGCCAGGTTTGCAACCATCAAGCTCGGGGCCTTGCAGAATGGTGGGACAAAGGCACCGAGCAGTCCGGAAGCAAAGAAGGATCATTCAACACATGAGGATCCACCACATAATGATGATGAAGCGGTGTTTGCCCACCGGAGGTTGCCAGTGCCTGCTCTCAGCGCCCATCCAGACCCCCCCTCAAGAGTGGCAAGTGGGAATGCTTCCCCGCGCAAGCCTGCTAAGTTGTACAGCACAAATGCAAGGCCGGATGCAGAGCAGGGAGCCATGCCGGACGCAGCTACCACTAGCGGCCGGGCTCGGAGCGCCTCCATAGGTGAGGCCCACGAAGGATTTTTTTTTGCAAAGGTCGGTGTGCACCAGGCGGGGGGGTTTGACGAAAAGAGGCCAGCACCAAGCCCAGGATCTGGGCAGCTTGAGTCACCAAGTAAACGGCGGGCCAAAGTGATAGAACCACTGGGGGGGGAGATAGTGGAAGGGTGGTCAGACACCGTGGGTAGCGGTGAGGGGCTGAGCCCAAAGCGGGCGCCATCAAGATCTCCAAAACGGGTAGAAAGCTCTCCTTTGGATGGGTTGGTGGTTCCGAGGGTAAGAGCGGGTTCCGCAGGTGGCGCAGGTGCCCCAAATGGCATTGCGGCAGTTACGGCGGGGCTGCGGGTTTTGCGCAACATGCGGCGGGGAGCGTCGCCGAGGAAAGAGGCGCCGGCGGAAGGGCAAATCCTGAATGAGGCGCTTTCTGAGCAGCAGGAGCGCAGGACGGCATTGGGTGCGGCAAGTCAGCATGTACGCTCTGGGGAAGATCCTGCGGCAACGGGGAGGACCGATATCTTGGCGGGGGTGGTAGCATTGGAAGAGGTCAGCGCAAAGGAGTCAGTACCCATCAGGGTGGAAAGTGCCAAAAGGGCACATGGCGACCAAAGTAGAGAGGGTGCTCCGTCGGCCGGGAGCACCACTTCAGTGTCTTCATCACACGCTGGCGCTAGCTCTTCTGCTGCGGCACAAAGAAATGCGCCCCCCTCAGCAGCCCTCGTACTAAAAGAGGCACCTAAGATTGCACCAGCAAAGACTCTTGGTCATGCAGACGGTGTGCCTCCCAAAACACCGCACCCCATTGTTCCTCAAAAACCAGCCTTAAACCTACGAGGAGGCCGGATTGATGCAGACCCTTCTCAAGCACCGCCAAAGCATTCTTCCGAAACTCCACACGTTGCCCCTCCCTCCTCCGCCACTTCTAGAGCCAGTACATCACCCCAGCAAGCAGCAAGTGCCGCAATCCAGGTACAAAGGTCGGGCGACTCTTTCAGCCTTTGGGCTCAGCCCCCCGCCATCCCCAGCAGTCCCCCCCTTTCCCGCGGAAACTCCCGTCCCCGTTCCCCGCAACTGTCACGGCTGTCGAGCAAGAACCTTTCGGACTCTGCCGGGAGTCCACCTCACTCCCAACTTACGGCAACGTCAAACGGAGTGGGCCCATCCGATGCGGCCCCTGTTCGTAGCAGCAGGCAATCGGGGCCGTCGGGCCGAGGCTTAGAGCAGGAGCCAGGCTTGCTGCCGATCGCTTCGCCTGAGATGCCGAAGTTCCATCTTCCGAGGGTGCGGGTACACGCACCCGGGAAGGTGAAGAAAGACACGTCAGCATCAGAAGCCAAGACACAAGACGCGAGTCAAGGTGAGGACTCGTCGACCGGGCAGTTCCAGCGGGTCTCGAGCGGGAAGCGCGCGCCGCGGCGGAGCTCGTTCGCGTTCAACCCCAGCGGCAATTTTCCCGGGATTACGGATAGCATGGAGATCGGAGTGGAGGTCACGTCGCAGAACCAGAGCGGGGTGTTCACATTCGAGCCGCAGCGTCGGCCGTCCGATTCGGACGCTTACACTTTAGACCGGGGGAGCAGCGGACGATCTGAGGGGATGCCTGGGGACGTCCCCACGGTTTCCGGCACAAAGCCAGGCCGGTCGGCATTTCGGCGAAGGTCCGACCGGGCCAGCGATGCGTCGCAAGATGAACGGTCGGAAAGGACCGTGCGGTTCAGTCAAGACAGCGACGGGGGAGAAGGCACCGCGCAGGCCACGCCGCGGACGGCGCAGCTGCTGGCGCGGTACCACCAGAAGCCGGCAACGAGGAACTTCGCGATGCAGGTGGGCTGTGGTTCTCTTAGCATGATTGGCCCACGTTCGTGACTGCTGGAAGAATGCTTATTCAGGAGATTCAACGTTAGAGGGTAGCGGTCGCGTCTCGTTTGTTGGCGCCAGGAGTATTTTAGGCTTGGTTGGGAGGATGCCGCCATTTGATCGAGTGCGAAAGCTGCGTGAGGGAAAAGGAGCCGGAGAGTCTGAAGCACGGCTTGCGGGGATGGTCAATACGAGGCCTTGACAAGCTTCAGCTCACTTTCATCAACATTTGTCCGTATGCCCCGTGAGAACTTTAGGGGCAGGTGATTCTCAGCCTCTCTTGACTGGTAACCCAAGCAGAACTTGAACAGGATCGTAACTTTTGGGGAATTCCTCGCCAAAAATCACCCATACTCACAACAGGCAATAAGCGCACGACCTCGCCTCTCCCCCCGCAGACGGAGGATTTCACCAAGAGCCTTTTTTCCTGGAGGCGACCAACCTTGACACGCATTGCTGAGTTCAAGCCTTTCTCGAGTTGCAATACAAGCGGATCTTGGATAACTTTTCAGGAAATCCCTTGCCGGAATTACTCCAAACTTGCCCTATGGAAATCACCTACGAGCCCTTGCATTCCCCCACAGACGGAGGACTTCAGCAAGAGCCTGTTCTTCCTGGAGGCGACCAACCCGTTCCGCATGCTCTGCCGGCGCGTGGTGGAGCACCGGTTCTTCAGCCACGTGATGCTGGTGTGCATTTTGGGCAGCTGCGTCGACATGGCCACATACAGCCCCACGCAGGCGGAGACGTCGCACCGAAACATGCTCGTGCGCCGCATCGACATCGGCTTCATTGCCGTCTTCTTCCTCGAAATGGGCCTCAAGGTCAGCGCCCCGCAAAATTTCGAAACCGGCCGACGTGACCTGTTTGCGTCGGGAATGTTTGCCCTGCATTCTTTGGATCTGAAAACGTAAGCCGACAATGTGAGTCGTATTGATTGTGACTTTCGGGAGACTGATCTATGTTTGAGTTGATCAGAAGGTACGTTGTTGAACTTACTGAGTGTGGGCTCAGAGAACCAGCCAACAAAACCAGCCAATTGTCAAGGCTGGGAAAACGTATCTCCGAGAACGCGGCATCCGGTCTTGACTTGTCAAGGAGCGAAGGCCAGGCGGACAAAATTGGTTCTCCACAGGCCGCTTGACATTACTTGTCCGCGTCTTTCCTTACCGGGGCCTGTTCTTTGTCACAGATCGTCGCATACGGCTTCCTTCTCAACCCGACGGCGTACCTGCGGTCCCCTCTCAACGTGCTGGACTTCATTCTCACATGGGCCAGCTTGGTCGTGCTGGTAAGAGCCGCCCCCAGAACCGATACAGAAGAAAGAAAAAGTTTTCGTTTGAGCCTTGGTCAGATAGTTGTAGCTCCCTCTACCACTCCTATAGGGTCACTGTGTGGTGAACTTTCCCTTGAGAAGTGAGCCATAAACCCTGACCCCTTGAGCCCCCTTTTGCTGACCCTGGACCGTTCTCCGTTCGCTTCTTTTCGATCAAATCAGAAGCGTCCAACTATTATTCCAAGATAAGCCGATAGCGCTGGAAGGAAGTTCAAATCGCTTAGCATCGTATGAACGGTCAGGCGCTTTGAGTACGATGCTTCCACCCGCAACTTCTCCTTCACACCGCACCTTCTTGTTCTAATGTTGAATCGGATGACTTCGCAAACCCTGAGAACGTTGCATTGAGACGTCGATCAACCGGGGACCCTCCAAACCCTCCCTGCAGCTCCCGACCGGCGGCCGCGCCCTACCGCTCGGCTTCCTGCGCGTGCTGCGCGTTGTGCGCGTGCTGCGGCCGCTGCGCACCGTGAGCGCGTCCCCCACCATGCGCGTGCTGGTGGGGACAGTCTTCAGCTCCCTGCCGCGCCTCGGGAACGTCTCGCTCCTCCTCTGCTTCTTCCTCACCTTCTTCGGTCAGTGCCCCTTTTCCCGGCTCTCCTTTTTCTGGCATTTGCCGACACTTTACGAAAAAGTCGGTTTCCGGCAACTATCAAGCACGTCCTCGTTCCGTCACTTCATAAGCCCTATTTCGTCTAATTATGCACTATGTCCCGCAGGATGTCTCGGCGTGTCTCGTCTGTTGTATCTTTTCCGAGCCTTTCGCTTCCTGACAACTCGGCTCGACCAGCCCTGAGGCTCTTAAGGAACGCAGCATCTGTGCATCAAACGAAGCACCAAATTCCCCCTCCTTCGACCTTGCAGGCATCATGGGCGTGCAGCTTTTCGGGGGATCCCTCGACCGCCAGTGCGTGGACGCCTCAGGGGCTTTCACCGACGGCCGGCGGTGCAGCGGCCAGGACAAGCCCTGGGCGCACATGTGTCCCCCGGGCACCTCCTGCGAGCACACTGGCCACTGGCCCTGCGAAAACCTGACGTCATTCTCGAACCTGCCGCGCGCGGCGATTGTCCTGTTCGAGGCGATCTCGCTCGAGGGCTGGTCCGATAACATGTACGCAACAGTGGAGGCGGAGGGCGTCTGGGCGGTGTTCTACTGGATTACCGTGGTGGTCTTTGGTGAGGCCGGCCGTTTCCGTTCGGTTAGGCAATCGTCCTTCTTTTAATCTTGACGTTAGATTGCTTTGCAGGCATTCCTGAGGCACATGGCACAGACCATTCCGATTGCAATACGCTTCTTGAACGACATCAACATTCCTTTGAGTAAATCTCTGGATAAACGGGGCGCTTCTTTGACTTCTGAGTTGTCCCATGATATCGTGTATTCTTTTCATAAGATTCAAAATGTGCTTGACCCTTTCAATCAAGGGAACCAAGAGCTTCCAAATGAATTCATCCCTTAGACCCTCTGCTTCCAGAGTCGCTCCTTGACCACCGAAACATGCTCATCTCAAGCCAGAAGTTGGCCGCCGATTGTTTTTACTTCCTGCATCAAAGAAGCCAATACAGCAATGGCTTCTGAGTACAGAGCACTATCGCAAGGTGAAGGGCAGGAGTGCGCCAATGAATGCACTCCAAGCCTTTCATAAGAGCTTTTCCGAATCTTTTGCCACGCCTGCATCCCAGGTGCTTTCGCTATCATGAACTTGGCCCTTGCCGTTGTGTACGACAACTTCAAGAAGCGGAAGCAAGAGGAACACGTCAAGGCGGAAAACATGAGGCGGATGCGCATCGAAACACGGGTGAGCAAACGGTAGCCACCCAGAAATTCTACACTTCAATCATCTTCTGCTCCAGGGTCTTGATTGTGAGTTGCTATTATGAATAAGCTATAAATCCTCTGTCTATTCTGGTGGTACGCTTTTGAATCTGATCGAAAAGAAGTCCACACATATTTTGATCATGTTGATTGGACCGGTGTCCAAAACTTGGTCAATCGACGGGCATGCAGAAGATTTGAAAGGCGCAGAAATCTTCAAAGTGTTCAGTGCTTTGCCCCGGTCTCTCGCAGGCCCTCAACAGCACGCCCCGGCATCCCCCGAGGAGTCCCTTGTGGAACGCGCTGCGCTCGCCCAAGCAGGCCTTCGACAGCTTTCGACAGCGCTTTCGAAAGTCTAGCCAAAAGTCCTTGTCGTCGAAGTCGATTGCAAACGCGCACGACCAACTTGCTCCCGGGACCCCCTCCTACTCCTCCCACTTCCGGCAAACGGACGAACTAGAGGAGACCGAAACAATCGAGGAGCGAGTGTCGTGGAAGCATCGGATCCGGCACCGGCTGTTCTTGGTGCGGAGAAAGTGGCGGAGAATGCGGAGGGATTTGCGGGTGACGTTAGCGCGGCCGCGAGTCGACATCGGCTTCATTCTGGTGGTGGTTTTCAATCTGCTGGTGCTCGCGCTGCGCTACGAGGGCGCGCCGCGCAAGCTGCGAAGCGCGATCAACGGAGTTGACCTCGTGAGTGCTCAACGTCCTGCTTTGATCGCAACGAATTTACATTCCCTCAAATCCGCTGAATTTTGCTCATTCAGTCTTTCACCCGAGCAGGCCATTGGGCCTTTCAGCTGCTCCTTTTGCGTTCTTCTGTCTCCGGACTTGGCGAACTCAGGCTCTGCCGCTCGGACCAGCTTTCGGAAGAGATGATCTTTAGACAACCGCACTCTCTAATCACCTGCTCTGAGCAGAGCGGGTAAAACGCCGGAACTGGAAGCTCACGACTTCTGTCTTAGAAACGCCGTTCTTTTCAATATGACAAACCAAAAGAGAAAGCTCTCCCCCGCAGGCGTGCACGATCGTGTTCCTGCTGGAGACCAGCCTGCGCGCGCTCGCGCACGGCCCGGTGCCCTTCTGCCGCGACCCGTTCACCGCCTTCGACGGCGCGATGTTCGTCATGGCGCTCGTCGACTTCGGCACGAGCGGCCGCGTCATCCACAACGTGGCGTCCATGCGCACGTTCCGCGTTTTGCGGGTCTTCCAGCTGGCGGGCCAGTGGCCGTCGCTGGCCATCTTCCTGTCGTCCGTCTTCAGCGCGCTGCGCGCGGTGCGCCCGTTCGCGTTCCTGCTGCTGCTCTTCATCCTAGTTAGCGCGCTGCTGGGGATGCAGATCCTGGCGGGCAAGCTCAGCTTCCCGGACGGCGAGCCGCGCTCCAATTACGACAACTTCTTCTGGGCATGCCTTACCACCTTCCAGGTGATGACCGCGATTTGCCAACAAGCTGTCGGATTACATTTGTGTACCATTTACTTTCTTCGGTTAGCAAATAAGCAGAGAAATCTGCCCTTCTTTCCCATGAGAAACAGTCTAACGAGTTGTCTTATGCTCATCAACATATACGAGTCTGCCGAGCAGACGACATGTTTGCTTCATTATGCTCGGATCTGAAAACTACTGCCATTTGCAATACCGTGGGTTTGGGTGTCACGTAAAGACCATGTTCGGGCCTTTCGTCAGAAAGCAGGGCTCCGTGACTGATCCATGACAAAGTCAAAACCATTGTGATTCAAGATAGCGTCTGCTAAAACAACTGGCCACGCACTCAAAGCTTAGAAAGCTCGACGTGTCAGGTGATTGCAAACTACAACTGGAACGACGTGCTTGCGTCCGCGGTCCGCGGCATCGGCTGGTGGGCGGCGCCCTACGTCATCTTCGTACACGTGGCCGGCGGAACGATCCTGCTGAACCTGCTGCTGGCCATTCTTATCGAGTCGTTCGAGGAGAACACCCAGCGGGAGCAGCTCCTCAGCGGAGAGCTTCGGAAGAAGTTTCTCTCCGCGGGTAAGCGCGCCCGCACAATATTTCAACATGGGCTGGCTTTAAATTGAAGGATGACGTCATGTCGCATCGCAGGAACCTGTCTCAGATGGTTGATGATGAGGGAATTGGGGACAATCTACCCGAAAGTATGGCTTTTTACAGGGGAGTTTTCAGAGCGATCCGTAGTCGCACCGTCAGATACTCATAACCCTACTGTTTGGTAAAGCTCCTGGTTATTGGCTGCAGGAAACAGGAAAGGTCACGCGATGAGTGCCGTAGACAGGACTCCTAAAAAGCTGACCACAAAACTCGTCTTGTATAAGCACAAAAGCAGCTCACATAACCCGTGCCTTCTTAGTCGTCGCCTTCACGTTCTGTAATGTAACGAAAAGCGTATGGTCTCAGTTTGTACAAGAGGCTCATAGCTCACTCACTTAAAGGGAGAAGTCAACGTCAACATAGTTGAGTCGCAAGCAACTCCTTGACCTTTTCTCAAAGCTACCTTATCGTTTCTCATCCGACTACCCTAATGTCACCCCGCAGGCATGGCCCTCAAGCAGAAGATGGCGCGCTTTCGCGCGCGCGCGCACAAGATGCGCTCCACTAACAACCTCCTCCGCGGCAAGAGCGCCGACGTGAGCGAGCCGATCTCCCCCAAAACCCTCGCGACCATGTTGTCTCCGCGCGCGTTTCTGCGGCGCATCCGCGACCAGAGCGCGCACAAGCCGGCCGCGGCTGACGCGGCTCGTGACCTTCTTTCGCCACCCGAGCCCCCAAGTCCGACGTCAGCAGCGGCTAAAGACGCGAAATCAAAAGTCAAGAATGAGATGCAGCTAGCGTTCCCGTTGTCGGCTTCGCTCCGTGGCCTCCCCATCGACCCTGAAGTGTTCGATTCCGCCGGAAGCACCCCCCTAAACACCGGACTGAATTCTCTGGCCGCCACCCCTCCCATCAGCCCCCAAGCCAGCGCCCGGTTTGACCCGGGGGACTTGGCTAGAATCATAAAAGAAGGTAAAAGCGAGCGGAAAGGAAATCACACGCGGTTCCGGCCGGAAGACAAGAGCGCGCTCGCGAACGCTTTGCCGCAGCTCGCGGCCGGCCACGAGCGGCGCAAGTCAAGGATGACGTCATCGCAGGAAGGCATGACGTCGTCATCGGCGGCCGCGCTCGCCGCGTGCGCCAAGCTGGGCATCGACCTGGCGAAGCCCATGGACCTCAGCGCCACGTGGCGAGCGGGGAGCCGCTTGAAGGGGCGAAAGGGGGGGCCCGGGTTTTCAACCGAGGGGCAAAACGGGGTCGACTCGCTCTCCCCCCGTGCTGCGTCGTCTCTTTTGACGGGGCAGTCTGACAGCGCCCTTGACCTGGACGCCGAAAGTTTCCCCAACTCCTCTCGGGTGACGCCGCAATCAGACGAGCCCGCGTCATCATCGGGCTCGGGAGATCTTCCCGAGGATCCCCCCAGTTCCGCCGTTCCGAGGGGCCTTCGGGGACGGAAGCAGCGGACGGCTCGGTTCGTAGCGGGACTTAACACTGTTTCCTTTCAGAAGGTGGTGTCACCGCCCCCGTCAGGCGAAGTGTCAAAAATGGAAATATTGCCGGTTCCCAACCTGCCCCGACTGCACATGCCGGGAGCGAAGGTGACGTCAGCCGACGGGAAGGGCGCGCGCGCGCTGCAGCGGAGCGCGTCTTCGCCGCACATCATGCTCCGCCCGGCGAAGGGAGGCCACACAAAGGCGACGGAGAAGCGGAGGCTGACTCGGAGGCTGAGCATCACCGCTCTCATGAAACCGAAAGTGCAGTGGAAGAGTCTGATCCGTCTGATCGATCAGCGGCCGCTGAAGAAACCGTCGCTCGCGCGCCACCTGTCGTTCGCCCACATCCCTTCTTTACACCTGCGCTCGGACCCCATCACGATCCTGGCCAGAAAGGCGACACGTGGCAGGGAGAAGGGCCCTCTCCGCAGGGGGTCGAGCAAAGCCTTCTTCCTACTCAAGGACCAGCACCCCCTCCGGATAAAGATTCACCAGCTCATTGTAGATAAGCGGTTCACGAGGCTGGTGCCAGCTGTCGTGGTTGTGAGCACTTTCATCCTGATGGCTGACCGGCCGACCATGCGCGAGGGCGGCCGCGAGTGGAGGGCGATCGTTCTGATGGACGCTGTGTTTGCGGCGCTTTTCACGACCGAGGTGCTGCTCAAGATGACGGCGGTGAGGCGGGTCGTTCTTGGTAGTTTTAGGGGCAAGCTGCCAAATGCTTCATCAAAATAGAGGCCCCGGATCCTTCAGATCGATCTGCAACTCACAGCATTGATTTTCAATCGAGGAACGGCTGAGGCGCTGCGCTGAGGTATAAGGTTAGGTCTTTGAAAGCGGATATGATAGGAAAAGGGAGCATTCATCTAGTCTTCGAAAAAGCTTTCACTCGGAAGCCTGCAGTGCAGACGGCTTCTCCAAGTTTTGCTTTGCTTCCGGTCCTCTTATGTCTGCTGCTAGCTTCACGGTAGATCACGCTACAATCGGTGGTAGATACCTAGTTTGGCTGCTACTCAGAGGTCCATCTCGGTCTTACTAGGGATTCAATTTTGCCCTCCTCTTAAGGCCTTTCCTAGGGTGACCATTTGCACTCCAGGCTTGAGTTTACCAATCGCTCCATCCTCCGCTCTGAAGCCCTCGCTGAAATTGCAGTTGGGCGTCCTCTTTGAGCCGGGTGCGTATCTGAGGGATCCCTGGAACGTTCTGGACGCGCTTTGTACGTTGACCACTCTCATCAGCGTCGCGGCGAAGAACCGGTGGCCGCTGCTGCACGTCTTCCGAGTCTTCCGGGCGCTGAGGCTGGCGCAGACCGCCCCGGGGCTCAGGGTGAGTGGTCGCCGAAGAAGAGGTCACCGGGCAAGTTTCAATTGTTGAAGAGGACCTGGAATCCTCAGCTCTGAGGGGCCCTCATGGGTCCTCGAAAGACATATCCTTGCAATATGAAACGCAAGGATAGTTTGCAAGCATTGTCTCCTGGCAAGTCGGAGGTTTTGCAAGCACAGTAATGAAGCTTCAGATATCAGTTAAGATCAAGAAAGATTGAGGCAGCTCCAATGAGGCCTGTACTGGTGAATGAATCCTGTGGAGCTTCTCCTGTCTTTCTCGCGGTCCGCAACCTCTCCTTAGTATCAAGCCGCTTCTAATTACCTCAACGACGGCTTCAGCTCCTCGCGTTTCCAGTCTCGCAGTGCTATGGTGATCAGTTAAGCCGCCCCTCGGCTGATAAGGTTCTCCACGTGGCTGCAGATGGTGGCCGCGGCCCTGCTGGGCGCGTTCCGCGCGAGCACGAGCGTGGTAATGATTGGCGCCGTCATCTTTTTGGTGTTCGCCACGCTGGGGGTCCAGATCTTCGGCGGCGCCTTTTCCATGTGCACCGACCCGGACGTCCAACTGCGCGCGGACTGCGCGGGCGTGGACGCGTACAATAAAACGCGCGAGTAAGCCCGCTGACGTCACACCAGATTTTGAGTGCCTCTCAATCATTCAATCTCGCGTCGTGATCTCGACAGGGTCGCTCTCAGCTTTTCAAAGAACATCTGAAGATCCCGACTGTTTTCATGCCGGTCATCTTGATTGTCAGTTTCCTATATGCTTGGGCGTGTAAGCGTTGCCACCGTGTTGATCTTAGCGTGTAAGCCATTGATACCTTGTTCTTCTTACCAACTCCTGCCTTATGATGACTAAAGGCTTTTGAAAACCGTCTCATTGTCCTCATCAGATGTTTGTTCCGAGTGATCGAGATCCAATCCCTGTTCCTTTCGAGAAGCTGATCCGACTTCCCTCCAGATCCGTGCAAACAGACTCACAAAGCTCTAAAGCTGACAAGTCGAAATTGGTTGAACGTTGATTTCCCCGTTGCTCGGATCCAGGTGGGTCAATTCGGTGCCCTACACGTTTGACAACCTGGGCGCTTCTGCTTTGACTCTTTTCGAGCTGAGCACGACGGAGAATGCCAACTACCTGATGTACCCGGGAATGGACAGCGTGGCCATCGACCACGCGCCGATCCTCAACTACCGGCCCTACGCGTCGCTCTTCTTTATCGCATTCATCGCCATCGGCTCGCTCTTCCTCATCAACCTCTTCGTAGGTGAGCGGACGCAGCCCAATCGGATATCTTTACAACGCTTCGTATGCAGAACGGAACTTAGAATGGTTGCTTCAGAGTCAACTACGACCCCGAATCGTTTGCTTTTATTACGCTTATGTCAAGCACAGCTGTTATGTGGCTGTGGTGACGTTTTTTTGGATCTTTCCCCGCCCAAGAAATGTTTCCGCTTTGCCAATCATGGGTCTGGTGGTACAGGCAAGCGCTCACAACGCAGGAGTATCTGTCTTCCCGTTACCATCTTTGCAGCTTGCCACCGTCAGCCCAGCTTCCTGATCTCTGGAGCCCCTTCCTACGCAGGTATCGTCATCGAGAGCTTCGGCAACATTAAGAAGGACAAAGAGATCGAGGGCCTCACCCCCATGCAGCAAGAGTGGGTCGAGACCCAAAAGGCCATCGAGAAAATGCGCTCGCACGCCGCGCTGCGCCCGCCCGCGAAGCGCTCCCCCGCGCGCGCGCTGCGCGCGTCCTTCTTCAACCTGGTCCAGCACCCGTACTTCGACCGCGCGTTCGCGGCCGCGATTGCGCTGAACCTGGTCATCCTGTGCACGCAAGAGGTGCCCCCCGGCGCGCGCACGCGCGCGCTCGCGCGGTACTCCGGCTGGATCTTCGCGGGGGTGTTCTCGGCGGAGGTCGCCGCGAAACTGCTCGGGTTGGGCGTCCGCCAGTTTTTCCAGCACCGGTGGAACTTATTTGACCTGGTGATTCTAGTCATGACCTTCACCGGGGAGGCCATGGGCGCGCGGCCGGGCGCGCCGCTCGTGCGGTGCTTCCGGGTGCTCAGAATGCTCAAGCTGGCCAGGCAAGCCGCCGCGAGACGATTCAATTTGTGCAAAATTTCAAACCGGCACGGGCGCTGTGAACCCTCTGGAATTCTGCCTATTGATGTTCCCGCATTTACTACTGCCGCCGCTGTCATTTGAATTGCTGGAAACCTTTTATCAGTAGCATCTTGAAGGATTGCCGAGTGGCTCGACCCCGAAAGGCTTGACGCCTTGACCGATCAAAGCAAAAGCAGACTGTTTGCAGGTGTTCCTTTTAACGCAAACGGATCAAATTAGAGATATGAATGACACACACTTGGTGGCTTCAAAGCTGACCGTATAATCACAACAACAATTGGACTCAGACCCGAGCTTCCTCTGCAAGTGATTCTTTGCTCTCTGCCCTCTTTCACTCCTTCGCCGCTTCCCCAGGCCAGAAAGCGACCTAAGAACCTCAAGAGACCTAAGAACCTCAAGAAAAGGCCACAGAGTCCGACCACCTGCTCAAGCTTTTGAAAACCCACCCCTGGAAACGCAATCCTGAGAACCCAAGCCTGGAACTCAATCCTGAATAGCCATCTGCAAACCTAGTCCTGAAAATCGATCCTGAAACTCGACCTTGAAAGCTCAATTCTGACAACCCAGTCCTGAAAAGCGTCTTGTATTCCCCCTGCGCAGGACGCACCACGGGTTGAACAAGCTGCTCAAGTCGCTGGTGTCCGCGCTGCCCAACCTGTACTCCGTCGGCAGCCTGCTCCTGCTCCAGCTGTACATCTTCGCCATCTTCGGCGTTGCGCTCTTCGGCCACGTGCCGCCCGACGGGCCGCTGGAGTCCATGACGTCACTCATCAACTTCACGACGTTCCCGTACAGCCTGCTGGTGATGTTCAAGATGCTGACGGGCGAGAACTGGAACTTCATCATGCACGACTGCATGGTCGTCACGTGGCTGGCCGTGCCGTTCTTCGTGACGTTCGTGGTGCTGGGCCAGTTCGTGCTGCTCAACCTAGTGATCGCCATCATCATCGAGGCCTTCAGCGAGGTCGAGGACGAGGTGCGCGCGCGCGGATCGCGACCCGTTTCCTTGTTTCCCTCACTCTGTTCAAACCCGCTGTCTATTCGACGTGCATCGTCGTTGTCTGGCGCCAGATTGGCGGTCAAGGTTCGTGCCTTGTGCTACATGTCCCTGGCAAAACCTTTTCCGGAAATATCTGTCGTATAAGAAATATCCACATCTGAGCGAAGAGTGTTCAGACCAATCGCACAATCTTTGGTGATCATCTTGCTGTCTAATACTAGCCGTTTTTGCACGAGAGAGAACGTTTCAGGAAAACACAGGTGAACCAGATGAACCAGATAATCCACTTTTAACCGTTTCGCCGCGCTGTTGCGAGATCGGCACTTTTTGGGATCCAGCTTTGTTTCGGCCGACGCCCGCAGGACTCCCGGGTGGTGAACACTGTGGTCCTCCGCAAGTTCGACGCGGTGTGGACGCGGCACGACCCGACCGCGACCGGTTGGATCACCCCCGAGCAGTTGTACCTGCTGCTGACGGACCTGGGGGAACCCCTCGGGGTGAAACGCGCGGACGAGAACGCGCTGCGCCCGAGCCCGAGCGCGGTCCTGCCGCTCGCGAGCAAAATGAACATTCCCATCTTCAGCCGCGGGGTGCCGTACGATCTGGTGCTGCATTCGCTGGTGACGATCGCGTTTGTGGCGGCGAACAGCAAGAGGCTGGGGGCCAGCATTTTCAACACGCAGTGGTGCGAGGTGAGCGGGCGGGGAACAGATCACAGCGCAGATGTGGCGCCCTTGGTGTTGCCAACTATTTCTTGCGGACCAGTCACTGCACCGTTGCTTGGCTTCTGATTCCACGAACATCTTTCTGGCAGTTTTTAATTTCTGTAAGAACGTGAGTGCACCCCTTTTTCGTTCTCCACCAGTGCGAAAGTCGATAACCACCTACTTAGATACCGGGTGAGAGATATTAGAAAGTGCTTCGGTTTCATAGAAGGCGTTCAAGTCGTTAAGTTGAGCCGACTCAAAGCGAGTCATCTCTTGGACGAAGCGCTGTTTTCTCTTTATCTACTTTCCACACGCTCTCGAATGTCCATCAGATTCCTTAAGATTCACAGAGGTGCAGCGGCCTTTTACGGTTCCCGCTTTGATAAATTCCGATGTCTCGTTAGACTGAAGGATTTTCCTCTGATCAAGCGAAGTCGATACGCCTGCTTGCAAGTGGATGGGATTGGTTGTAAGAGCCTTCAAAACATGCGTATGTGCTTCCCCTGTGCAGTACCAAGCGGAGAAGCGTCTGCGCCGTCTGTTGCACAACAAGCTGCAGTCCCCACGGCGCAAGTTCTTCAACGCGCTGCCCAAAAGGCTGCAGGCGCTGGAGAAGAAGAAGAACCATGACCCGGCCAAGATCATGAAGACCATGTCCGTCTCCAAGGCCATTGCGGCCATGACCATCCAGGTGAGGGATACTTCTCGATTTCATGTTGACCAAGCGCATGTTGACTAAGGATAGTGCTCGGGGAACGAACAAACCTAAAAACCTAAACCGATAAATGACACCCGCTCCGCACCCGTACCCACCCTAACCCCCAGGCCCTACCCGTCCATAGGGGGCTTTCATTTAGTCAACGTACGCCTAGTCAACATGAAATCGAGACCTATAGGTGAGGGCCGGACTTGAGACGATGTTTGAGGGCTGACGTCAGTCGGCACTTACATCATCGTGAAGTCTTCATGAGTTGCGTCCGACCCACTCGGAATCTCACAAATTGCCCGTTTAAGTTTGTTTTAATCACGAAATGAAGGCTGATGGGTTCAAATAGGAGAGCCTAGGAATAATTCGGCCTTTCTCAACCCCTCCCGTTGTCGACAACACGTGTATGCACCGACATCAAAGAGAAAAGGGCCCATTGATTGAAAACGAGCTCACCTGCGAGCTTTCAAGACCCAAAATTTGCAGACTAGAACAACCACAAACCCGCTTATTCCGCTGCGGTTTCGAAATTCGGAGCTTCGTTTCACGTAAACTTACCCCTAACCTTGTTTTCCCCAGGCCCATGCTCGGGGGATTGTGACCCGCATCCGGCTGCGCAAGCAGGGGTTGATGCCCCTCACCCCGATGAACTCCCCCATGCTCCGGGCCGAAAATGACGTCTCGGCCGGGGCTTTTGGCCGCTCACTCCGTCCGGGGGGCATCCAGACCGCGCTCAGTGCCCCCCCGAAACAGCTGGGCGCGTCGGCGTTCCTGATGAGCAGCGTGTCGTCGGTCGCGCGCGGCGGGCCCGCGCGCGCGCAGAGCGAGGCGTCGGGGCTGCTGAAAAGCTTGCGAAGCTCTGCGGAACTGCTCCCGGGGGAAAGACCCGCCCGGGGGCTCGCCCGGGGGACGAGCGACGTGGCCGGATTACTGGAACGAACCAGCGGCGATTTAGGAAGGTCGCGGACTGTCCATTTTGCGGTTGGGCATCCGCCGGGCGTAAATCCGAGTCCCGAGGAAGGATCGCCCCGAAACAAACCGGGTGAAACTACCGAATCGATGGACTCGGTTTGGAAGCGGCTGAATCATTCTTTGCCCCCGGGGGGGAATTATGTCCGGAGGGTGAGCGGTCGGCAGAGACGCGTGTCGTTTGAGGAGCCGGAAGACGAGAAGGCGGAAATTTCCGACGACAGAATCGTTGCGGTTGAAGAGGCGGAGGGGTTCGTGTTTGATGCCCACGCATCTCATGCGCGCTAGAAGCGGCACTGAACGACGTCAAAAGTAGCAAGAAGCCCAAGAGTAGTCAAAGTAGTAGTGAGCTGTGTGAGCTATTCAAGCAAAACAACAGCGGTTTATTGAGCGAAGCTTTCATGACAGGACTGGGAGCCTGCGCAACGTCCTGTTGCAGTGGATGGATCCCAAAAACATGTATACAACGAGTTGAGTAGGACAGAATACACTGACATAGGTATAAAGGTGCGGCACTTATTAGCAGACTAGGAGCACGTTCTTTACGGAAACATGATCACCTCTATTCTCTACCGTGAGCGGGCGCCATGTGTCAGGGCGCTGCTCCACCACTTTTGTTTCGATGAGTTCGCATCCGACACGCACTTTTAGCAAGCCTGCAATGAGTCCGCTTATATTTTCATGGCCAGAACCTTTCCAAATTGGGATAGTAACCATCACCAGCACCTTTCTGTCTGCTTATTTAGTAGCACACGTGAACTCGACCGGGGTGGCCTCGTTATAAGCGCGCACGGGATACATTACGGCCTACACACATTATCTTTCGAATGCTTACGGAGTACCTACGCTTGAATGCCAAGTCAACTTAATTTGAAGACTAGGTTACTTTCTGCAGCACGACTAACGAGCTGACTGCACGTTTAAGATCATTCGTTCTCGAAAGGGATCGGAGGGAAAGATGCGGCACGATTTGCCAAATAGTCCGGCTCATATAGAATGCCGCCGTGGCTTGGTTAACGACCAAAGCAAAATTTGTTGCCAGCTCGGAAATGCATGCACACCACTTAAAGAAGTGATTCCGAAGATGATGCACTTGATTGACGATTTCCTAAAGGGCGCCTTCGCATACCCGACGTCGTATTCAAGTCAAAGTTGGGTCACTCATGCAGATTGTGCATCGTTTCGAGTCCGGAGAGCTTTTCAACAGCAGTTGCCACCCACTATCCCGGGAAAACGCTTTGCTTTTCCGTTCCGTCCTACTTCGTATTCTTGATCAATTGCAGTAGGAGCCGGGACCAGGCGTCTTCTCGAGGGCGGACCTGCAAGGCAGTGCAAAGCTTCTTGTCGCCAGTCTACCGTACCGGCTGATACGTCCCAATGTAGCAAACCTGGCTTGACCTGATTGACATCCTCGTACTAATTGAAAATCTCATACGCAAACCACGAAGGCTTGAGAGCAGAGAAACAAATGGATGGTTGAAGATCGACAGCCTCTTTTTGGACCTCTGGCAGAAGCAGGCATGACCCAGAGGTCTTCACTTTGTTCCTCAAAATATCTGATTCTTCAGGTGGCTTCCCTTAACAACATCATGAAAATTCGTTTACTCTCAATCAAAGAGGGATTTCAATGACAGACATTTTCGTATGCGGGGCACTTCAAACAATCTTTCGCTGTGGGCCGATAAAGTCCAAGGCTTTGAAACTGTGCAGATTTTGTAAAGTCATTCGGCGCTTCTCCGCAGAAACGTTTTTTGGTTCCTCTATATCCTGCAAGTCTCCCGGAAATCTGAACCCAGAGCAGAACGAATCTCGAGTCATCCTTAACCGCCACAGGTAGCCGTCAACCCACCTGGGAAACCTGCTCGCGCTCGTGAAGGACACGGCGGGCATGCTCCGCTTGGGCGACGTCAGCTGGGCCCCAAACCCGGATTTCTCGTTCTTATAAGCGCCCGGGCCGGGAGCCGCGGTCTTTCCAGTTCCGCTGTTCCGGCCCGCGCTGCCGAAGGGGAAGGCCGGTTTAGACGGCCGGGAGGACTCCACCTGAGGCCCCACAGCAGACACGGTGACGTACTCCCCAGGGCCGGGAAGCTCGGAGGCCTTCCGCTCTTCCAGGCTCCGGCCTCCACCAACCTGCAAGTAGGAGAAGTATCCTGATCAAAGGTCATTGAGGCGTCAAGAGTGGAGCAGCGCTCACGTGATTGACGGCCTAGAGCGCTTAACGATGTTCATGGTCAAATTTTTGTTGTTCCCAACATACCTCGCGTTTGACCAGATTAGAAGGTATTCAAGAAGGCATTTGGCTTCGCGTCAGAGTCGGTGTATATCAATCATACAAACGACTCGTTGATTCGGCCAGATACTTTGCAGAAAGACAAGAGCGCCTTCATTTACCAAAAAAAAAATACTGAAGGGTTAATATCAATGAGTCCGCGCCTTGACCATGTTACTGGAAGCAGACAAGCGGCGAGCGGTCACGCGATATCAGACATGGGACTGGCGTCAGGCTAAGTAGAAAGTTTCGCGAATCAAGATCCTGAACAGACGTTTGCAATCCAATTATTCAATCTGTGGGGGGCGCGCTCGTAACCCGCAAGTGTCGGGGTCTCTGTATAGGTGCTCAGAAGCTCACCGCTCTGGCGTTGGTTCCGAAGCCGAAGTTTGGCGAAGTCGACTTTTCAGAAGCAGCCTGCAAAATGCAGCGCACAATCAGATTCTGACACGTGCATTTAACGGATGAGGATGGCGGTTTCTCTGGCGAGGACGCGCTTTCAGCTCGGCTTCAAGTGCTGGAATAGAGGGCTTGATTTTTTCTTTGGCTGTAGTCTCAGCAAGTCCAACCGTTTGACCTTCTTCAGCGGAATCGTTTTGTCGACCTGGTTGCCCACTCTCCAGCCCAAGTTCCCGGCGTTCTTACAGGAAAATCTTCTCGTCGTGTAGATTGACTCCTTCCTTTGAGTACTCCTTCCTTGCAGATGGTTCTAAATGTCCGATTACATGCTCGTGAAAAGGTAAGCTGTAAAGAGCAAGTATTGTGTGTTGTCGCAATCAAAAGAGGCGGGTGCAGCCACGTGCCTGCGTTCCGAAGCCTGACTTGGTGGGGTACGTGCCCGGGCCCGGCGCATCCAGGCCGTACATATCCTCCTCAAAGCCCTTCCCGATGGACACTTTGACGCTGCGCGTCGCCTTGACGAACGACTTGGGCGACGCGCTCTCCTTGGTCGACAGCGTCTGTCGCCCGATTGACGGCGGGATGTCGTACTTGCCGGGGTCCGGCATCTGAAGCGGAAAAGGGATCCCTTTGTTGCTAGATACTCATTGGTGCTCTTTCATCATCCATGCTCGCTCTGTGTCACGAGAAGTGCGCAGAGCTCGTCTCGCACTTCTAAGCACAGATCAGCTGAGTCTTGGCAGGAGCCCTGGCAGCCGTTGTTCGTTTGTAGCCGTGACCTTCTTTCGTGATCCTGGTCGAGTTGCAAGTGGTCGTTGGACGACAAAAGCAACGCGTTTGCACAGTAGGAAGAAACCGACTTTTGCGATGGAGCTCACCCTGACGAGGCTGCTAGTGCCCGGCCCCTTGAAGCGCTCGTCATGTCCGAAGTGGTACGCGGGATGGTGACTGTGCTCGGACGAGCCCATGTCCCTGCGCATAAGATCAGCAGACTAGTTCACAAACATGCCCCCTTGTTTTTGTAGCGGATGTCCCTTTGCCCTCCGCTTGACGTAGTTATCATAGGCACAGTAAGCCCGGTTCTTGTCCGGCCGCCAAAATTACTGGTCCTCTCTCACGTTACTGCCCCTCAATCCGGTGAGCCTTACGTCAACCTTGATTGCACAAAGGGCGAGTTTCTGCGCTAGACCGATGTTTCCCCTTGATACCAGCAACTTTGCAGCAGAACTCTAAGACGCTCTTGCTTAGCAATCCGAATGATAGATTGCCACGTACGACGCCTTACTTTCCGAGGTCCTTGACGGTCTCGTAACAGCCGGGCCCCGGAACCCCCTCTCCGCTCGGTACATAGCCTATGCTGCCGTGAGAGAAGCGGTCGGCACTCCCAAACGCTATCGAGGGTGCAGACTGTTTGATGGAGTCGACCTGAAAAGGTACGAATAGAGGATCGGACAAGATAGTCACAGAGATGGCTCGGAACACAGCATGTAAGCTTTTGAAGGGAAATTTCAGCACCATTCAGGAATGAAAGTCCCTTGACTTTCATTTTCGTTCTGATCTGGACATGCGAGAGCTTTCTGTACTCTTGTACAGCGGTTTGAACTTATAGTGTGTTGCTTAAAGAAGCCTCAGCACCAACAGGTTAATCCTATTAAGATGGGCTCCTGCAGAAATTTCTCCCATGCATATTTACAGAGGTCTAAAAAGTTGAAACGTTATTTTCCTGATGGACTGCGCTTGCTTTCAAGGCTCTTTTCATGAGCTCTTCCTTTTGATGCCTCACCATCTTTCCAAACTGGCTCCGCTGCATGCTTTTGCTCAGGTCCTTCCGCTTTCCAGTCTTAAAAGCAGTCCCTCTCCCGGTGCTGCCGGTAGGCGACGCGAGTGGCCTGTCCACGTGTCCTGGGGGACTCTGCAAGGGCCAAATTCTATAACATGATTGACAATTGTTTAGAGCATGTTCACGCTTTCTCAACGCGTCCAGGTTGGATCACAGAATTCAGAAAGTCATTGAGCCAATATATATATATTGGAAGGATTGATTGTAAAGGACCGTTGGCTAGGCTTGTTTACACGCTGTGCGGTGCAGCTTGATAAGCAGATTGCTTGACCTCTTACTGTCTCCTTAAAAGGAAAAAGGAAAACGGTATGGATGGCCGCCGGATTAGCTATCCAGCTCCAAGACGAGCCAATACAATCTGCAACAACTTATACCTGCTCTCAACGGACTCACGTAGAGGAAAGAGGACAGCTACACTCGAAGCAAGCACTCTTCATCAACGGACTTCGACAGTGCCTGGTTGAGTGCCATTCTTTCGTGGTCAGCGCTGGTTGATCCGGCCCAGTCCCTGTGAATCCAATTGGTAAACAGCTGCCTGAGGAACGGCACTGCCGAATCTGATGACCCTGCCCCAGCATTCAAAGTCGGACTGATCGCTAGCATGCTCACATATTCCTCCCGCGCATACACTCCGTTTCCAAAGCGTCCCGCTTGTGGCCCTCCTCCATCCCTGGCTCCCGCACCCTCCCCAGGCCTGACCTCTGCCGGGTCCCCATCCATCAGCGTGACTTTCTTTGTTCTTAATTCTAATGCTCCAATTGCACCAGTCTTGTCTTTGTAGCCTGCCCCGACTTCTTCCTCGGTTCCCAGTTTACTAGATGCTTCCATCGACGTTGATGGCTCGCCGTCTTCGTGCCGGGTCTCGGCAGAGTCAGCATTTGTCTGTTCCATCGTTTCCTCAGGCTTTGCTCGCGAGAATGTCGAAGTTTGCCCGTCTTTCAAACTCCTTACAACTCCGGCTTCTTCTGCTTCTGACTTGCTCTCCGATGTGACAGCATTGCCTGGCCCCGTGCTGGGTGCTTCGTGTTTCTCATCCCCTTCAAATGCTTCGTTTGCATAGTGCCCAGAACCCTCTACTACAGCGTCTTCTGAATGAGTGTCCATAATGCATTTGGTAGGCTATCTCGACGATCTGGTGCTTGTCTAATTAATGTCGAAGCCCTTGTGCCAATCCCTATGTCATGTTAGAAGTTGAGACCTATGGAGGGTCTTATCGGGATGCTTGTACTGGATTGAAGAGTGGTTTACAACAAGAAGGCAACCGTGACTTGGCATACGGCCAGCCTGTGAGGGATATGCCAAGGATGCTGAAGACAATGGCTCGTTCCAAAAATTCCCTGATAGAAAGAAGGTGGTGCTGATGGAGTGTTAAAGCAGCAATGAATGGCTGGAAAACGGCGCCACTGCATCAGAATTAAACATATAAGTGACTTGCCAATCTGGTGTGGAAATTGGCAGTGTCACTAACTTCGGTGCACTGCATATCAGAATCCCGGTATTATGGTATACAGTAGCAACTTTTAGAGTTGGCGTGCTCCCTCAGGCCGCGAGGTGAATTCTACGACTGTGCCGCGCTGAATGGATTTTGGCCGCGGAACAGTCTGCTGCGCGCGCGTTCTGAGACGAATGGTCACTCGCCGCGCGGGAAATGACGTCATAAGGCGCCTTCGAACCAATCGAAACACGCAACTGAAGTGATATGCCGAATCAGACCGATGCAGATGACAATCATTGAGATGTCTGACAGACCCGCGTGGACCATGTGATTTTGACTTGCGGCCCGCTGATTGGTTCATTGCGCGCGAGTCTATGTGAGGGCCTCTTGTGACAGCAGTTTGTTACAGTGGGTGCCAGCAGATCAAAGCGGTTGCGCAGGAGATTGGCGGGCACTTCCATTGCTGTTCAAACCAGCTAGTGCTGGCGGCGCTTTCTAGAGAAGGACGTTTGTCTCTTTGGCAGAGTAAAGGGCAAGAAAAGAAGGTCACGATTGGTCAGTCAACTGTCAAAACACAGGGTCTTTGGCAGGAGGATGGCGAGCTGAGCACCCTGCAAAGAATAGCACGAAGAATAGGGCATCCAGATAGTTCCTTTAGAGATTTTTATCGTGAAGCTTGCTCTGATCTAGATTCAAAAGCAGTGACAGAATCAGCAGGCAAGAAGGAGCTGTCCTAGCTGATCTGCAAGTTGTAGCTCTATGCAAAGGCCTAGAGGTAATCCAGACCAATTGAGGAGACATCAGAAGGAGGGGGCAGCTTGCAAAGGGTAGCACCTTTTGCAGGCAGAGCCCATACCTGCGCTATTCATCTGGAGGATCAGCTCTTAGACAACTGGTCTTCGGGTAGACAGAAGGCTCCTCTGACATGGCTTTTGCATTAGCGAAGGTAGCAAGTCCACCAAATCTTGGCAGATCTTCCATCTCATCACCACCTAGGGCTCTTCTCAGCTCCAGGCCAGCAGTTCTGAGTTGCAGCAGGCTGACTTTCAAGTTGAGCTCACATGGGCGAACTTTGCAATCGGCCCAACGCTTCAGGCTCAATAGAACTTATTTAAAGTCTTCTCAGAACACACGGTTCTCAAATGAAGTCACACGAATCACTGCAAGTCCGCAGCAACTTCCAAAGCTTAAAGTGCAATGTAAGAAGACTGACCATCATAACCAGCAGCAATCTGACGCCAACAGCTGGCAGGAGTGTCTGACAGCTGTCAGGCAAGTTGTGGGAAAGGCTGTTGTTGGATCTGCTGCTGCTTTGGCCCTAACTCTGGTGCCAATGGGTCAGGCAGATGCAGTGACGCCAAGAGCTGAAATACTGGAGGGCAAGACTTCCCCGGTAAGGTTTTGCATCTCGATAGAGCAGCTCACACGATTGCTTGTGCTGAATGATCAAGTGCATCCTTAACCATTAGTGCCTGAAGTTCAGGCTGCAAGATACTCCAAGAGAAGCTTCACTTTTGCACACATTTCTGTTGGAAGATTGGCTCAACTGAAGGATGGCATCAAGTCTTTAAGAGTACACAATCATCCCAGAACCATAGCAGCCAAGATCTCCAAGGGCCTTACTAGATTGCTCTTTGACCTCAGAAACTTATGCTGCAGCCTATCATTAGTCCAGAGTTCTGTAACCGACTGAGCTGGTCACGGTGCTCAGATCTTCGGTCAAACCAGATGGTAGATCATAGATGAGACCTGTCAAGCGACCCTTCAAGGCACGCATCGACTGTGTCACCTAGAAGCATGTTCGTGTGCACATGGCAGAGTATTGTGTCTCTCTTAATGATAAATCGCACGTCCCATCACAGGCTTCCGACATTCAAATGACTGTGGTGGAGGCCTGGAGCATTGCCAAGAACCTATTTGTGGATCCAGAGTTGAACCACGCAGGTGGGTATGCTCTTCTCAGCACCTCTGATACGAATTAAGGGCAGTGCCTAGAAGCGCGCAAGGTGGTCAGGAATTGGAAGCCCCTAACAAGAAGCTTGGTTTTTCCTGTCAACTGGGGTCCCTTGTGAGCATGCGCGCACACGGTTGGGCCCACTAAACTTTCTGAGGTGTCTGCTGCTGTGTCACAACATTGACCTCAGAAATTACAAGTGCAAAAGATCTCGGAAGCTCCGAGAAATGTATGAGGAAGATCAGTAAACATCAACACTCTCACCACAGATTGGGATAGTCTGCTTCGGAAGACAATGGCTCACGTTGGGACTGCAGCAACAACCGATAGTGCCTATGCGGGCATCAAAGCCATGCTAGGAAACCTGGGTGACCCTTTCACTCGCTTTGCGACTCCAAAGGTGAGCGCTAACTGCATCGCTCAGGATGTTAGCTCTCTGTCAGGCAGCCAGGCCCCTGCTGAATCTCTTTTGTGCAGGATCTTGAGGTGTCCCGCGTGCAGAATTATGGGCCGCTTGAGATTGTGGCGTCTTCCTGGTTGAGGGGCTTGTTAGCAGGAGGCAAATGTTAGTAAACTCAAGCAAGCCTGTTTAAGACCTGTGCTAGCTGACAGTGAATCCCTATCGACCTCCGAAATATCTTAGTGAAGGCTTCTTCTGAAAAGAAATTGCATGTGCAGGAGTACGAGTCGTTCCGTATCAGCAACGACGGTTCGCTGGAGGGAGTGGGGCTCATGATTGCCTCGGATCCATCAACTGGCAGCGTGGTAAGCAACCTTTGCTGTAGATGACGAGAAATGCTCCATTGCCGTGTAGGGTGCCTTCGGAAATCGCGTCAAAAGAGCTTGGTGAAGGTGACATTGGGCTGTTGCCTCCTGATGGGTGCAAAGATCGAGGACAGAAAGTAATCTGAGCCGGTGCAGTGGCGTTCACTTGTCTGTCTGAGATGTGAATTGCATGCCAAAAGCAGAGCACAATCTGTGACGAGAGGGAGCGGCCCTTCTGTCCTTCTATCTAGGTGATGGCTCTTTAGCACCACTTACCTTCCAGAGGGCACTGCTAAATAGCTCAGCCGTTTCGTCAACATAATCAGTGCTGGAACAGTATTGTCATCGTTCTTAGTGTTGACTTTGCGCTTGTGCCCTGTCTCACTCCCCCACGGCCTTTCTGTGCCAGGTCGTGCTGTCCCCAGTCGAGGGTGGCCCCGCGGCGCGTGCGGGCATCCGCAAGGGCGACCAGCTGGTGAAGGTGGATGGGCTGGCCCTCTCTGGGGTGAAGGGGGAGGAGGTCGCCCAGAAGCTGCGGGGCAAGGCTGGGACTACTGTGCGGATCACGATCAGGAGGCAGGGGGGAGAAACGGAACAGGTGGGCATGTTTCCTGAGCGCGTCGCTATCGCAAGTGACCCTCTTGCATTTGAGTCAGTGCCAGAGTCATCTCGCATCGCTCTTTGAAGTCTCCTCGTCAGCTCTGGAAGCCCGTAGGATAGAATAACTGAGGCTGTTCAGAACTTCTGGCCTACAGTCACCCACTACTCTCATGTCGCCTCGCACCCCTGCAAGCGTCGAACATTCGTCGAATTTTACATCAGGTGTTAACTCCTTTCGCTGAGTTGCCCTCATGCCATCCACAATTGCTCACCGCAGGACATTGAGACGCAGCTGCTCCGCGAGACGATTGTCTTCTCGCCCGTGTTTGCAACGATGCTTCCCCCCCATCTGCAACGGGACGGCCAGCTGGTTCACCCCGCCTACATCAAGCTCTCGTCCTTCAGCCAAAATGCCTCTGCAGACATGCACCAAGCCATCGACAAAATGGAGGTACCTTCCGTTTCCTGTCCGCTCGGGACTTCCTCGCTCCTAGTTGCCAAATGTAGCAGCTGATTTCTCAAGCGCTGCCAGTTTCTTCTGATTCAAGGTTGTTCCTTGGTTTGGCTCCTTCTGCCATCTGCGCCATTTGTATGTGCCACTCCGCTCTCCACGTGACAGCAGGGGAATGGTTTCTCCAACCGCTTTGTCCCGACTTTGTGACAAAGAGAAAGTGTCGGCCTCCTCCGCTTTGCTGTATTCCAAAGCATGAGCCCGCTTTTTCCGACCATGCCCGGAGCCAGTATACTGACTGGTCTTTCTTCGGTGATCCCAGGAGCAAGGCGCCGACGAGTACATCCTGGACTTGCGCGACAACCCGGGGGGCCTCGTCCGCGCGGGGCTCGACGTGGCCGACATGTGGCTGGACGGGAGCCTCATCCCGCGTACGATCGTGCACACCATCAACCGGGCCGGCGAGACGTCGCCCATCGAAACCGCGGCCGCGCGGCCGCTCACCAAAGACCCCCTGGTCGTCCTGGTCAACAACAACAGCGCGAGCGCGAGCGAGATCCTGGCGGGGGCGCTGAAGGACAACGCGCGCGCGGCTCTGGTGGGCCAGCAGACGTTTGGCAAGGGCAGGATCCAGGTGAGGGGGGGGCGATTCTTTGGGCCGGGTTTGCTTCTGGACACCCGTTTTTTTGGGATCTTTCTTGTCGCCCCCGGGAGCTCACCCCGATTGTGGTCTGCCCCCAAGGTTGCTGTCGCTGCTCGGAAGGGTAGGTTGTCTATTGAGTTGTGACCCTGAAATCATTTGAACGAGCGCTTTGCGTTGAGTTGTAGCGGGCCGACTTCTGCGGATGCGACTTGCAGTATGCCGATTTCAACCTGTTCCAGCTCAGTTGCCTGATTTTACTGCAGATTTGCGTAGAAAGCCGTAATAGAAAGCTGAACCTTCTAATTGAGCTGAGTGGAAACAAAGTAGAACAGCGCTTGGTATGCACTTTCACCAAGAATTACAGGTTTCGAGGCCGCTTGACTTTTCTATTGAACCCGCTGCGCAGAGCGTGTTTGAGCTCGAGGACGGGTCCGCCATGTTCGTCACCGTTGCCAAGTACCTCTCCCCCGCGTACCACGCCATTGACAAGATCGGCATCGCTCCTGACGTCATGTGCGTGCCGAAGATGGGCGATGAAGCGGTCTCCGACCCGCTGACCGCCGAAGATCCCGTGCGCGCCATCGAGCAAGATTCGTGCGTCAAGGCGGCTGAACGACACCTGGACGGGTTCTAAGCCGCACAGGAGTCGTCGAATTTGGGGCTAATTTGAGACGAGACCAAGTGTTAGCGGGTATGCTTAGCGCTGCATCGCAGCTTCCAAGGGGACGCGCCGAACGAAAATCTGACGCCCCTGTTGTCAGAGCCATCACATGGTGGCCATAGCTGTATACGATTGACGATTGGGCTTTGATTATGCAGGTTGTCAAAGGTTTGTTAGCATTGATAGGTACCTTGTTTCTGATTAGCAAGGCCCCGTGGGGAGTACATTGACAGGATTTAGCTTTATTTAGACACTGTTGAGATAATGAGCGACAAGTATAGGGCGAATGACGGTATCAGACCAGATGCTCGCCAGGTGATTGCTTATACTTGGAGAAATTGAGGTAGGACCGACGGAAGGCCCAGCTGTAAATAAAGGTTGTGCATTGTAGTAGTCAAATTGACGCGTGTAGACAGTACTTCAGGGTGGCACGAGAACAGCACTTTACCTCTCAAGGCAGCGTGGCAGTTTAGCCATCGAACAGGAGTGACCACGTACAGACACGCTCGAGTGGGTGCTCGATAGTTGTGATATAAGAGCTGCTCGGATTTGCATTTTTGCTATCGTTGCCTCTCCTTCAACACTGTTCCATGCATAGCTAGCCGGAAGATCAGACGTACTTATCGGATAGTTTAGTGTCCTTAGCATCAGGTTGCAGATCGAAGGGAGACCTGAAGATATGGATCACACGGTGGCCGCATACCTACTTAGTAAGTGATTTGTCAACTTACCATATTGCAGTACCTGAGCCACCAAGCAAAGGTAGTATATACTAATGCTATACACTATAAGCAGCGAGTCACGATCGGGAGATGAACGCCTAAGTTCTTGAACCGATTCACAGCGCATCATTCATTCGGAGATTGACCGCGATGTACCGTACACAGAGCTGAGTCCGGCGCCTCAACGATTGATGTCCGGACAGATGGATCCATGTATGATACACAAGGGTCAAACTTGTAGGCACAGTGCACCGCACATTAATAAACTCAGCAGTCCCACACTTCCCAGTCCTACGCTTAACTAGACTCATCTCGACGGTTTTAGCGTGCATGACTCAAGCACGTGTTGCTAAGCCCAGCAACAGGTTTACTTTTTTTGCAGGTAACTACGGCTTTTTCTTGCCCACGCACGCTTCCAGCCTCGCCCTCTGCTCCTCGCGCGTGAGGTCGTCTACTGGTTCTAACCCGGTGACCTTGAACACGCTAACCCCGCCATTACTGTCGCCTGCCAATACTATGGGCGCGTCCTCCGCAAACAGGACGGTGGAAAGAGTACTGGCCAGGACGCTGTGCGACAAAACGGGCTTGATCACGGAGGCAGCCAGGTCCCAGATCTGCATAAGCAAATGCTTTCAGAATTGTGACGTAGTTCACTTCGTTTTGAAGCAACTTTCATGTTGTTGGAAGGAAGCGTGGGGAAAGATTAGCTGGTGTCGGCATCACCAAGGATAGTCCTTTTATTTTTTGGTTGGATCGAAGTAAAGCTTACTTCTGCTCTTGCTTTGACGAGCTCGATTCTGAAATCACATGACTATGCAATGACTATGCACGCGTCTTCTCTATGCGACTTCAGGAGAGTGGTTCAGGCAAAACTTTCTCCCAGACAGTCACCGCTAAACGAGACAAACGGAACGAGATGTTAATCTCACCTCCAGCTTGCCTTCGCCGTTCGCGGTTGCGAATATGGTGGAGTTTGTGGGTGACCACTGGACGTCGCTTACGTAGTGCGTACCCGTTTGGAAGACCAAAAGCGGCGTCTCCTGCAAGGGATCCCTTGGCGATGATCAGCGAGAGAGCTTTTCAGATTACTTCTACCTCTTCGTATCAAGACCCCCAGGCTTTTGAGATTTCGTTTTCAACCGACTGCAGAATCCGGGACATAATTTGACTCGGATAGTGCGACGTGGGAAAGCATCAAAGCTCTTAAAATCATCCCAGGCTCTTTGCTTCCCATGTTTTTTCCTTGGGACATTTTTATTCTCTTATGCGAAATAAATTACAAGGCTTGCACTGGGCCTATGAAATAATAATAATATAATAAAATTAAGCGAAGATATCCAGTCCCAATTAACGCCTTACGGCTTGAACACTTCTCGCAGCTGCGCGCGCCTTACTTGGTCTTCCGCCCACAGCCGGATGGTCCAGTCGTCGCTGGCGGTTAAGAACAGGTTGGGTGCGAAGGGCGACCAGTGGGCTTGGTACACGGGCCCCGTGTGGCCAACGTACGTCCGCAGGTACTGCTCGCTGTACGAACACGAGCACGCGTGCAAGGCCCCTTCCTCGGTGCCGGCAATGTAGATGCTGCAATGAGGATGAGTGTGCAAGGTTGGAAGCCCTGGGTAGCGCCAAAAGGTCCGGGGCACAAGTCGAAGCCCCGAGAAAAACAATCCAGATCAGAAGCTGAGATAGGAGCTCCGGACAACGGTCAAACCGAGTCTGAAGTGTGGGGCAAAAATAATTGTAGGCCCTGAGGGCGAGGTGACAAGGAGGAATGGTATGCCCGCTTGCAAGTCCTTTTGAAAAGTAGACACGAGCAGAGCAGTCCGCAAAAACACTGACACTCTTGACTTGCTGTCCCCTGCGCTTTTTCAAAAGTAACAGCTGGGACGAAGACTGACTTCACAGGTAGTATGTAAAAGCGGGGGAGAATAATCACCTAGGATCGGCCGGGCTGAAGTCAAAACACATTCCACTCGCTTTTCGCGAGATGAATGCCTCAGCCTGCGCGGTACTGCCCGCCTTGCTCCGCCGTGCCACCCGCTTCAACTTGATCAGGTCGGAGTACTCAAGGCCCTGAAAAATGTCAACAAAACGACTCAGTATCAGGCTCGCGAGCACACGTCGCGCCATTTCCAATCGCCTCTTTAGCAAGCTACGGTTGCAGAGCAACATTACAAGGGAGCCAAATGACTCTCTTGCATGTGAGATTAGATCACGAACTCGCAAGCGCAAGCGCAATCAAACCTCTCTTACTGAACTCTTCACCTCATACAACACCTAGGCGAGCCTGTAGCAACGGCTTCTGTCAACCAAAAATCGCGCGCGTCCGCGCACCTTTTTGAGCGCCCACTGCGTGACCCTGCCGTCGGTGGAGATGGAGACGAGCTGCTCCCCGCGGTCCTGGCCGCGGTCCACCCACTTGAGCTTCCACACCGGTTCCGTGTGCTTGCCCGCGCCGTGCACCGCCGCGTACAGCGGCTCCGCGGTCGCCGCGCCGCGCACGTCGTAGATCGCGACCGCGCCGTCGTAGAAGCCGACTGCCAGATGAACGAAGAAGATGATTGATTCGTCAGCAAGCTCAGAACAAGAACGGGGAGGGTGTGATCGAGGTACAATCCTCCTCCTCAAAGTGTGAAGCTTAGGCGGCAATAGAATCGTTGAAAGGCAATGTAGACCTTGAAAGATAGGTGCAAAATCACTCCGCTTCCTTAACGGGTTTGTAACTTAATCTACGTTGAAAATGTTGAAAAGGGTCTAGACATTGGGAGGTGGTTGAACCGAGTTACTCCTCTTCTTCAAGGTCTGAAACTCGGTCTTCGTCAAAAGCTTTAATACGATCAGACTTCCAAAGCTGAAAAGGTACATTTTTCTGGACGACAAGAGAGGTCGCTGTCAGCGTCTCAAGCTCTTTCAAATTGCTCAAAAAATGGACCCAGAAGAGGTAGAAGACAGGAGGGAAAACGAGGCGGCGCGCCGCCCACCTGCGAGCAGATTGGGGCTGGCCGCGCTGAAGTCGAGCGCGGTGACCCCTTGCTCCGTGCTGATAGTCCACTCCGGGAACTGCGGGTTCTTGAGCGACCAGAACGCGATCAAGCCGCCGCGCTGCTTCTCGAACTCGAACTGGCCGTACCCCACCGCCAGCATGTCGCGGCAGCCCTTGTTCCACGTCATGCCTGACACCTGGCGGCCGTCCGTAATCTCCGCGGAAAACTCCCAAAGGAGTGAGAGCGACTGCAGGCTGCGCAGCGTGCTCAGAGACGGGTCCGCGGGCGCGCCGTCGTCGTGAGCCGGGGGGCGCGCCACGTGGAAGTCGCGGTACTCGATGAGCTGCAGATGAGGGAGTAAATTTGAAAGGAAGGTGATCAAACGCGCTGGTTTCGAAAGATTAATTGATCGTCTCTTTCTTTTACTCCCCAGAATGTTCGGCTATCGCTTACTCGTGCAATTGCAAAGGTTACTGGAAGTATACTCAAACCCAACGTGGGAGGTGAGCAGTACTTACCTTGCAACTTTAGATGCACGGCTGCTCTGCCAAGCAGGATCCTTTCCTCCACATCATCTCAAAATAAATACGCAGTTCATAAGCCCCGGTCTCAGTACACCTCGATTAAGATACAGGATCCATATCCCGAGTTTCCTAGCGCTCTCTTGGCGCCCCAGAGCCTGATCCACTCCCGCGCCTCACCTTGGTGTGGAACACGTTTTGCGCGAGCGCGCGCTCCATGACCTGCAGCGCCTTGTCCAGCCCCTTGACGACCGTCAGATCCGCAACTTCTTCCTCGGGCAGAAGCGAGCCCAGGTCCGTGTCCGCTGCCACGCTCCGCCCGTCCATCGTTCCGCCGACGATCACGCTCACGCCGTCCATGCCCCCGTACGACGACTGCGCGTCGTCGTTCATCGCGCTCGTGCGCCGGCTCGTGCGCGCGGACGCCCACGCGGACGCCTGTGGGGGCCGGAAGTCTTTCCTCCGTCAACATAGATTAAAAGGTAAAAGCGAGTTGAATAAGAGAGCCCCTATGACAGTCATAGGCCTGCCCCGGAAAAGCGGTAGAGACCAGTGAGAGTGCTGTAGTCAAACATGTTCAATGTAATGCAAAGGAAGTGGCAAGCAGAGGGCTGATGCACCTGCGTGCTTTTAAAGGGAGGGGCAAAGCGGCTAAGCGCTTGACTTCAAGCTCGTTCATCCACAATGATCGAAAATCTTCCGAGCCTGCTTGAAGTAGAGTGCGGGATTAAGAAGCGAGCTGGATTAGACGAAGCAAAGCTTGGAACGGAAGCCGCTCCGCACTGTGGGTCAGTTAGAGGCCAAGGCAGTTCAACGGCAGGTGAGCAAATACTCATCTCGAAGTCACTTTGACTCACGCTGTCCGAGTATCGTTTTGAGGCGACCGCCTCTTCCGTCCGTGCTTGTGCGGCTGGCCCGGCGGCGTTGTTCTCCTTTTCTGTCGCTGCTTCCCGCTCTTCTGCTTCCGCCTCTGCCGCGTCTGCGGCTTCAAATGCGTCATACAGCTCCCACGAGCTTGACTGCGCACAAAAGACGATCACGTTGTCTCTGACTGAACTTGCGTGTTTAAAACGTGGTGATTACCACAGTCTTACAGGAATTTTTGGTTATTCTGAACTTCTGCATAGGACCAGGGTTTATAGCAAAGCTCAGCTCAGCAAACAATTGGAAACGGGGAGGCTCCGATAGACGGGCCCTGCGAGGACCACCAAACGTACGTAACTGTTTGAAAGTAGCAATCGGCCTCTAGACAGATACTGTCTCGGCTTCATGACCTAGATATTCCTTTCCTAATCGTTGACCGCTCATTTTAAACCTGGACCCTAACCCTTTCCCTCACCTGACACGCCGCTTCCGCTTTTCCCACGGCCGGCATCTGCACCTCTTTCGCTTTCATCATGCTGGGCAGCGTCTGCGCCGCCTTGCCCACGAAGTTCTCGCTGCCCGCCTTGCCGGCCACCTGCGCCGCATACCTGCACGGACGCAAAAAAAAATAGACTACTGACGGGAGTTTCCGCTTGCGTTTCACGTAAGCCGCGTCAGAACCCCGATCGTGCTCTCGTCGCTCTCATCCTCCGTAGCAACTGAGGAAGCAACGATCATGGTTCCTAGCGTTTAATCTGAAGTACGGGGCTACTTAGACATGCAAAGTAGCCCCGTACTTTTACGATCGCAGGACGACCCAATTGTTGTTTATCTGGGAACTTACCGGTCGTTTGCTGCCGTCACAGCCGCTATGCCGGGGTCCTCGGTGCTGACCGCATCCCCTGGCAGGTGGAGCAGGCAGACGGTGGGACTCTCCCGGAGCCGTAAGCGGATCATGCCCTCAAAGTCCTGCGGTGAGCGAAAAAACCGGTGTAGATCAGTGCATGAGCAGAAGCGCGACAAAGCCGTTCCCGGAGAGAAACCCCAAGTGCTTACCGTTGACATCTCATTCGAGCCCGTGACTCGTCAAGGAGAGCATCGGTTTTGGCCATTGCAATCCAGAGCAATGTCAAAGAAGAGTCCTCAATGACAAGTGTCTTACCTCCGTCTTCGACAAGTGTCTTACCTCGGTCTCCGAAACCTCAACAGTGTCCCCAGATTCATCAGGTACTCTCTGCGCCGCTCTTCTATCGACTATATCTGCTCTTCTGCCATTTGACAATGTTGCAGGAAAGTTTCTGGACACAAGAACTCTTGAGGTGGAAAAGTAGAAAACGGTTGGGACGTATCACCCGATGGTTCTGCTTCCCACCTGCCCCCTGGTCCCTGGTCTGATGGGAGCTGCTTCGTTCACAACCACCACTTGCGTCCTTCCCAGTTCCGCCCCACTCGCGCGCCTATTACCATCGTCCTGCTTGTTCCCAGGCTTGGCTGCCTTTCCTTCAGAATCTCCCTCTTCCTCGTTAGCCTCCTCCAAGGCGTCTGGGCTCATGCTGCTGATGCTGCTCCGCCGACTATAGCTGTTGTAGACAAGGAAGACGAGGGTCCGCGTCAGCCAACTGGCTGAGGTCACGATCACGTCAGCAGAATATGTTGACCGTAGGTTATGCAAGGATGTGGGAATTCTGGCAGGTGTATACGCTGCTTTTCAGCAGTGCCATTGTAGTTGAATCCCAAGAGATCGACCGCTTTTCGGTTAACGCAAACTCTTAGAGGGCTCAGGCAGATTTGCGCAGAGTGAAATGTTGGCAATCGAAGAGTGGATGATCATTTGCGAGCTCCAACCGTTCATCACAAAGCTGCGGATCCTCTCTATTCTCTTTGTCAAAGCGACTCCTGAAGACCGAAAGAGTCGATCATAAGACGCTGGTGCAGTCTTGAGTGGCATGCTTGCCAGTAGCGGTCTCCCGGTAGGTCATGACGGGGTTAAAATCCAAGGGACTGTAGACAACTTCAGTATTAAAGCAAGCAAACCAGGACGCTAAGGCTGAAAACGTTGTTGACTGATAATTTCGTAAGAGGCTCATTGAGGCTGTTACTATATACCCACCACATGCCCAAATCGATTCGCTGGTAATACCTGAAGATGGGTTAGGCCCTGTCTTGGCCTTTGTCGAGTTCAACCAGCCTGCCATCACTAGGATGAGACTCCTCACCTGAAGATGGACGAGGCCCTGTCGTAGCTGTCGTTGAGCTCGCTGACGGGGCTGTGCGCCGCGGAGGGCGTGTGCATCAGGCGGTCCCGCTCGTGCAGCACGGTGGGCCGCATCGACAGCAGCGGCTTGGGGGTCACGTCGCGGCCAGAGGCATCCACCACCTGGGGGCAATGAGAAGAGGACATATGCCCCGTGTCTGTGCAGAGAACGTGGTGGCTGCAGAGGCTTCTGTGGCAAGCGAGTGTTGAAGTAAGAGATGAAAAGCGCTCCCGGAGTCGGGGCCCAGATTTTAAGGCTTGGGGGCCCGATTCGGGCAGACTCCAGTGAACTACTTGATCCAGAGGCTCTCTGATGTGGGCCCAGACACTGGATGTCTTAGCGCCTTGAATGCTCAACGCAATGCCAGTAATTCCAGGTTTGAAAGCTGAAGATATGGGAGAAAAACATGTGGTGGTAAGCTTTTCTCACCTGGACTTGTTCATCGGTGGTTTCAAAGCCTTTGCCCTTCCTCCGCATGTGGGACATGCGAGTGCTGCGGCGGTCCTTGCTCTTGCGACCCATGACACTGCTGCAGAGGTGGCAAACAAAGTATGCAAATCAAAGCCAATGCTTGAGCGTTGCTTCTGCCTGACTTTCTTTAAGGCAACAAATGCACAAATCTTGTTCTGCTTTGGGTAGGTGGACTGAGGATGCTGTGGCAGCCAAAGGAATCGTAGACTGAATCTTTCAGGCCAGAGTACTTTCCAGTAACTTGTAGACATAGCTCACATGGTCTGACAAAGAGCTGCAATGGTATGGCCCTCAACACAGCATGGAGAGCCTCTGTCAATTGGTCGATTTCCTGTTTGCAGCTCGTGATAACATCTTGCATTAGCTGCATTCATTACGAGCATGCGGAACTCACTTGTTCGAGTGTGACATGAAGGAGGTCCGTGACTTGCTCTCCACCGGGCCGACCGTGTTCCTGCTCTGTGAGCGGAAGGTGCTGGGGGCGCGCGACGCCTGGCTGCGCGCACTCAGCGGGACTGACCCCCGGTCCGACATTCTTGCAACTTTGGAGTAACCCTTTGCAATTCGAATATGTGGGATAAGCTCTTGGTTTCTAGAGTGCAAAGATGCCCATGGATTCAATCGCAATTCACGAGTCTAATCTGTGCTGCTCCTTCATTCTTGCATCGAGCTGTTGTGGCAGCCGCTATTCCACACCTTGTGCCGCGTCACAAAGTGCACCAGCAAGGCACTGGCTACCAGGCACCTAAGAATTCTTGAGAAAACCGAGCAATCAGTGTGGACAAGAGCCCAGCTCGTTAGATTAAACTAGAGCAGCAGCTAGCAAACTCGCCACATACTTGACGGCCCCTTGATTCAAACTAGAGCAGCAGCTAGCGAACTCGCCACATACTTGACGGCCCCCTACTTTCAAGGAATAACTTGCCAGCTCCGGCATCAAAAGGTGCAGTGCCAGCATCATTGACACCCGTTGAAGTTGAAGTATTCCTTTCAATACTGCATCTTTCAAATCACTACTCGTTGCCCCTGGAGGCAGGCTTGCATCCGTCCGCCACCATGTTGGCATTTCTTGCCAGTCCGTTATCCCGGGTACCTGGTTGAGAAGCCGACCAGTGCTTTGACATTGTGCTGCCATTCAGCCATGGTCTCATCAGCAGGGCGAAGCTGGCCGTCTCTCTAAGTTTGCTTTTAAGAAAGCGGCTTCTGGAAAATTATCTTGTCTGATTCATTATTTAGAGTCCGATCAGACTCTGATCGTCAAGATAGTTGATTTATAAGACCACATGTGGCGCTCGCGTCTAACCGTTTTTTAGCGAAACGCGCGCGCAGCTTGATGGCTCTTGAAATCGAAGCGTGCCCTGCCGCCGGCGGCCGGGCGAATAGACGGCGCGGCCGTCTTCACAGTGCAGTTCGCGGGCCTCCGCACTTGAATGGTGTCCACTGGCAACTGCTTGCCATATAATACATCTACCTAGCTGACTCTGACTCTGAGTCTCTCTGCTTCGTGTTCTCCTAGGAAGGTCCTTCCTGATTCCGGTCTTTTTTGATGCGCAAGGTGCACGAAGATGTTCTTGGTGCATGCGCTGAAGCAGTTTAGCAGCATTGAAGTGGAATCTGTCCGGAGCTGGTTGTGCCAGGCCGCCCGGAGCTGCACCATCATAGAGCAGCAGGAGCAGATCCTCTCGTCTCTGACCAAAAATGTGGATCAAAACTTCGATACAACAAGCGGTTGTATCGACGTGCTCCGAAAAAGACATAGCAATGCTGCGCCCATTAGCCCCACCACAGAGAAAGCACACCACCCTTGTCCTTCCACTCTAACTTGCAACTTTCTTGATTACCGGTCACTTCGATCCTGGGGGAATCAACAGGGGCCAAATGATGGAAGTCTACCTCTCACTTCTAGACTCCAGCGAGTGGCTTGGAGAAGCCCGAGCTGCTGTGCCCTTGGAGATACTTTGACCTCTCTAGAAACATCGAGTCTGATCGCTCCTGGGAACAGGCCAGGGATAGCTGGCATTGTGGCAAGCAGCTTGTCCCCAACTATTTACTCAAGGATCAGACACCTGTCCACAGCCACCACGCCCTCAGGACAAGAAGCAAAGCGAGCGAAGCACTCGGTGGCGCTGTGGGGCAATGCAGACTTTGGGCGCTTGGGGCATGGCAATCAAAGGGCAACTGAGGAGCCAGCAATCTGTGAAGCACTGGAGGACTATTCCATAAAACAAGTGGCCTGCGGTGGTGCGCACTCAGTAGTCCTGACAGGTGCGTTTTTCTTGCGTGAGCTGTCGTTCATTGACTTCTTACTCAACGATGAGTTCTCCCCTACTTCTTCCTTTCTTGGCTGTGCTGAAGGTCTTCCTTAAGCTGGAGCGATGGAGTTTCTTGGAAGATGACTTCTCATTTGCGGCACTGTCGCTGACTTGCTCTACTAGCTGCAGATGGCGGTGAGGTGTTTACCATGGGCCTCAACGAAAGGGGCCAGCTGGGGACAGGGGAAAAAGATTCATCCAAGAATGTAAGGCCGATGTGAGGTACTCAAAGCTTTGCTTCTGAACTTGACAGCCTCTGCACGTCCACATTGCCACCATCTTTTTTGCAAGCCACTGGACAGCTCTGAGCTCCTATGTCAGCCATGTGTCAATTGTGTCGACTTGGGTTGATCTTGCACGTGTATTCTAGAGCGACGCATTTCAGATTTCCACAGACTCTGGATCCACCGCCTCTCACTAATGTCGCCTTTTTCTCCACCCAGGTGCCCACCAGAGTCGATGGTTTTGATCCGGCCATAGTCCAGGTGTCGGCAGGCCACCATCACACAGTGTGCATCGATGGTGAGACGCACCAACGCCCAACTTTGCTTTTCAGACTCTGCCAGGAGCTCAGGGAGTCTTTTATACCAGAAAGAATGCTGAGATTATAAAAAAAACTTCCCTAGCTTAATTTGTGCAGGATGCCTACCGATGCCACCCTCATGCCTCTTTGTTGGTGTCCTGAGAAACCTTTGCGTCTGGAGTTTGTTTGCGGATGGCACATCTTGATGTCTCCTGTGGCAGGAACTCTCTCAAGCACCAGGAGAGGAGTCTGATGTCCCCTGAAAGTCTGGCAAACAAAGGCCTTATGAACCTGCAGCTGACGGCGGAGTTTGGAGCTTTGGGGACAACACGAGTGGCCAGCTTGGGCTTGGCGACTCCTCCGAAAGAACGCAGTGGATGCCTGCAAAAGTTGGGGGACTAGGAGAGGCAAAGGTCATCCAAGCAGCATGCGGAGCGGAGCACACGCTAGCGCTTACAGGTAAAACACTCCCCCACTTTATCAAGATGCATGCGCACAAGTGCCCAAGTCATGATAGAACTCATGGAGGAGCTAACTTTTCTGACCTGATAGACTGGGGCTTACTAACATGAACGTTCCATTCAAGGAGGATCAAGGTTCGATGATCTGATCTGGGCCCGGCTTGCACGAGTGTTCAGATGCCAAATGCAGGCCCGCTCGCTACGTGACTGTATATGCAGGCCGATTATGAACCATTTCCCGGCATTTAAAATTGAAGTAATCAGTCTTTTGCGGTACCATGCAATCCTTTTCAGTCCTGAGGTGTCGCTGCACTCCCATGCTCATCAATCGTTGTATGCAGATTCTGGCGAGGTTTTGAGCTGGGGCTCTCGGGCGAACGGGCGACTGGGGCATGGCCAGGAGACGCACCTGCTGAAACAGTGGAAGGGCAGGTGAGAAGGACGCTCCTCGACGAGTTGAATGATGTATTTTACGGCAGGTTAACTTCTGCCCATTGGGCACCTCATTCGCATAAAGAGGACGCGAGCGCAAAACAGCGAAGAGTCTTTCAGTGTGCGTTCTGGTAAACTCCGGAAGGCATGCGATGAATATGGAACGGACGACCATTTTCCTTTGCATCGTGCGCTCGAAAGAACAAGTCGATGCAAATGAGCCCGTCTTGGGATCTGATTTTGAGAACAAAAAAAACAGCTTTCAGTACAATTTAGACAGTCGTCAAGCTCCTAGTTCCCAGGCGAAAACGACGGAAAGGGAGGAGAGAGTGACCCCTTGCCTGTATTCTCAGCTGTGGAACCGTCGAAGACATTCCAAAACTCCTTATAATACGGGTTGAACATTCGGGATTGGAAAACACTGCGAACGATGTTCTGCTCCCAAGCGCTCGAAAATGTTTCCAATCATCCTCTCATTCCTCCTTTCAGTGAATCGGCGCCGCGCTTGTTGCGGTCTCTCAAGGGCAAGGCGATCCAGAGCGTCAGTGCTGGGCACATGCACAGCGCCTGCATCGATGGTAACCTATCTCCTAAGTCCGGTCCTGGATTCCAATCGCTTGCCAGATGATTCCCCATCAATTCGAGCCGCCTCTGTTATAGTCGCCCTATCCTTAAAGAGCGGCACATCATAAAATGGTCTGATTCTTGCTTGCGGAGTTGCAGGCCCATAGAACAGACTTGATCCACCATTACAATTGGAGGGTGGACTGGGCTCCTGTTCTGCCGAGTGTCGAGCTTCGACTAACTGAGTATTTCTGACGTGCAGAGAACGGTGTCCTCTTCTCGTGGGGGCATGGCAGGTTCTGGCAGCTAGTAAGCACTCCTGCTTCGCAAAGCTCGGTTGGAAAAAGTCCATTCTCTGCCAGATAGCATTGGCCCCGAATTCACAGCATTTGAAGCTTCAAAATATGGCCAGTAATTGCTTTGGATCAGAGGCTCTCTTTCTCAGACAGCTGATCTAGTATCACGCGAATTGCCATCGGATAGCCGGCACTTGCGGACCTTTGCTGGTCTGCACGCTTCGATCACCAGGAGGCTGCTTTAGGACTCTTGCTCGCTAGCATCGTAGCTTCAGGTCCCTCACAACCCAGCTGTTCCTCAGATCAATCCGCAAATGCGGATGTAATTTTGGCCCAGTGGGCTTTCTGGCTGAGCCGCTCTTTGGTCTTGGTGCAGGGCACGGGCTTCGAACAGGACGTGCACATTCCAGCCGCCGTTCCGGTCGTTTTCCGAACGGCGGGGGTCGCCGGCGGTGGCGCGCACACCGCCGCTGTCAGCAGTGAGCTCCTCACACGCCGATTGATCTGTTTCTCGGTTTGCATGTTTTCGCAAGCTTGGCATCTTCTGCGGGGCGTTTGGGCACTTACAGCGTGTACGATTTTGGTACAGTCACATCTAGCCGCAAGCACTAAATCAATGATTTGATGGGTTGTCAAGTGGAAGGCAACAGACACTAACCCGCATTCATCACCACCAGCAGGGAGCCGGCCCTCTTCATGAAGGCTACAAGTTACTGACTGTGCCGACTGAAGGGGAAAAGCCCTGCATTATACGTTCTCTGGTCTGTTGCAATGATCAAAGTTTTGCCAGTATTCCGGCACTGTTCGTAGGTTTTTCGCCGCAGACTCTGCTGCATCATTGGGCGGATCGTAGCGATTCGTGGATTGTGGTATTTACCTCACATTTGTGAGTTCTCTGCAGGCAACGGGGATGTGTTCGTGTGGGGGGCTAACCAGGAGGGCTGCCTGGGGCTCGGGTAAGGGCTGCCCCGCAGTCTCCGTTTGCTCCGTCTTAGTTCGCCTTTGGAGACCACAAGTCTCCGGCCTTTCAAAGTCATCGTATTGACTTTGAGAAGACAGCAGCCATCGTGTGGGGATCGCTGTGCACGACGAATCGGGACAGGTAGCTCCTTATATTGCTGTGCACCCTTCAGACGGTTGTGCTGCCTATCCAATCGCCCAACCCGTCAACAGGCACTTGTGCAAATGACTTCGACCGATTGGTCGTGCTCTCAAGAAGAGCATTATTCACCCATGAGTGTCTCCAGCAAAGCGGCAAGATTTTCAAAAACAACTGCGCAATCGCCGCTCTTCATTACAGAAGTGCTCGCAAACCATCTGCGAAACTCGGGATGTCATGATGACGTACTGCTTGGCATGCCGTGTGACGCACCCACACGTGCCGTCCCTTCCTGCAGCGAGGAGATGCACGCGTTCAGCCGCGAGCCCGCGCGCGTGGATGCGCTTCAGTTGCACAGCGTGGCGCAGGTCGCGTGCGGCTGGAAGCACACCGCGGCGCGCACCGAGGGGGGGCTTCTCTTCACCTGGGGGTGGGGGG